AAAAATCACCATTTTGCTCGAAAATACCTCTGACGGTACTGACCCCTTTCCACCTTTAATGTTTTTAATCCATTCCCAACGTCCAGAAAACGTCCTACCCTGCACCCCCCCCCGGAACACCCAGGATAGTTAGGTAGTTTTCCCTCCATGTCATTGTAATCCAGCTTTGTCAACCTCAAGATTCAGTGGCAACTCTACACATTGTTTGTCAAAGTCCGCCGTCATTGGGCCGTGAGTGGTGTAGCTGGGGATGGGGGGAGCAATCCCATCGCAGAATTTAGAGGAAGAATTTGGAAAAAGAACCACATATTGTTTCACCATTTTTTTCCCCCATTTCCAAATGAGGCTCTCTTGCTAAAAGACAGTCGCATATTGAAATGCATTCCTATGACAGTGAAGCGGGATCCATCGAGCCCTTGTAGGCAAACGCACATGTAAACAAAGCATAGCGTCATTATGTCTTAGGTCTGCTGGACCCCAGTTGATTTACCAGCTGTTAGATTTTGACATGTGTCATAGGTTGAAAATGCTGATTTGCAAATGAGTACTTTTTGTCGGTTTTATTACCAATTTCTTTTTATGTCCCTCGTCGTGGCAGCACCGGTACCCATCATGGAGTACTTGAACCCCGACCCGGTGTTGGAGTACACAACCCCAGAGTGCCTTGCCTGGCAGCGGGTGGAGAACAGCCTGAAGGCCATGAACGTGCCCGGTCTGCGGGTGTCGTATTGTTACATCGAGGCCCCAATGTGCAATCACATCATGTGCACCGCTGATTATAATGGCCAGGTCAGTTCCTGGTCAGTGAGTGCCATCCCTGGCTGATATGCTAATTCTAAATCCTGCCGGGGCTGCTCAGCACATGATTTTTACACTAACAGAGGCCCAGCATGTTTCACAGAGATTATAAGCACTAAGCACAGTTAAAGGCATACCTATCTCGAATGAAAAATTTGTTTTCGCTTATTGCAAAGAAGGAAGTCGGTGTCTGGAGTGGATTTCAATTTAAAAATCCTATTTGGGCAAAGTTCAGAGCTGTATGTATGCTTTATGCTTTCTGCTGATGTTGCAGTTGTTGTAGCTATGTTGGTGGGGAGTGTCCATTCCATTGTCAGCCATCGGACCAATGTTCCTCTCTTGGTCCTGCTTGGAGCGCAAAGGATCTGACAGCGGGCCAGCTCGGTATTCCAACAGAGCATGCCCAAAATGAAGCACGTCCGAGGTCATTCAGACCCATGTGCAAGGTCTGCCTTCTCAGCCCGATCCTAAGCGGACTCACACACCCACTTTCTTCCTGAATGACTTTGATTTTTTTGGGAATACCACACTGACTCATTGCCCTTCCTGACGCTGGCGCGCTGTCCATTTACCTCTCCGTTTCAGAGGCCACCAGCCACCAGCACAAGTTACTCCATATACGCTGAAGTCAAGCACTGCACCCAGCCCATGATGTTGCTAGTGAGCGTCAGGGGTCTCAACAATGACTTTGTGATGGAGCAGAGAATCAGTGCTGATACTAACGTCAGCCTGAACAGTAAGTCCTCCCACCGAGATCCTTGAACAGGCAGCCCTAACAAATATGACCAGCCACTTTTACAGGTGCAGTGTTGGAACAACGTTTTGAAACTTTCCTACATTTCTCCAAAACTGGTTTCTCAAAAATCCGCTTCTGATTGTGTATTTTGGAAGAATGGGTCAAAAATGCCTTTGGTCCAGTAGCTTGCAATCTTTATAGGGGTGGGATCCACAGGTATCTGCACTCTGGAAACTCCGTGGATTTGGGTGGGGGCTGAAAACTATGATCCCCGGGTCGGCTAGGTGGGATTCAAATCCGGGTTGTAGAGATGCAAGGCCAGGAAAGCATCATTGTGCCAACTTGGCATTCCACATTGAAACAGTTTTAGCCTTCCCAACTGCTGTCGGGGCAAGATAACGTTCACCCAATGGACATTTTACCCTTGTAAAAACATCAGCTGGTGTCCTCATCAAAGAAGTTGGGGCAGAGTTTTACCGTGGCAGCCGAAATGAATGCTCTCGTTTCATTGGACAGAGAATGGGGTCTTACTCAACATTCATTTCCGGGAGTTAAATGGTGCCATCCAGCTGAGCGCCGCAGTCCTGATACCATTGCCTGGTACCGCCCCACCGGTCAACCTGCCGCTCATTAAGGACCAACTCATTCCACTCCCAAACTGTGCAGGTATAACTTTTCAAGTTGATTTATTTCTTGTAAACATGAGAGTAAATTGTTACATTGTTCAGCTTACACTTTAATGATGCGTGTACAGAGTTTTTGTTAAAGGTGCAGAATTTGTCAAAGCAATTTACTGATGGATTGCTTGAAGAGCCACTTTTCACTCATAAAAATGGGCAAGATTCTCAGTTTAAAATGGGAGTACACTGTTTGGAATACTAAAGAAAGCAATTCCAGGCAACTGACTTGTTGACTAGTCATAAAATTGGTGATCGTGGAAGTCTTCGGCAATCCTTCAGTTTTCATCGGCTGCAAACGGTGCAGATGGAACTGAGTCTATTTATTTACATCAGATATGAAAGATCAGATTAAGACTTCAAAACAGAATTTTAATATCTTGAGTTACAGTTAGCAAAATGAAGAATCAAACTATAAATGATTTTCATCCCATTGATACTGTTGTTTCTTGTAATAGGCGGTGGCATTGGTGGTAATGAACCCAACATGCCCAACCAGCCAGTCTACCCAACTAACGATGTACCCTTCATGCCAAACCAGCCTGGAAATCGTGTACAGCCAGGTAAGTCTTGTCTGAATGACTTGGCTATGGCTTACGATAATACACTTCTATGGAAAGTGAATGCATCCACCAGCAGGCTGCTTCTCATAGGTAAAAGCATTATTTCCAGCCATAATCCAGCAGTGGGACGTGGCTTCAGGTCTCCGTAACATGCTGCACCGACCCACCCACCCTAACAGAAATGAATACAAAGATAAACATGTAAAGTTTTCTTTAACCCTCTTACTAGAGTCACTGACGTCTCCTGTGTATGCCGTTTTTGCTAATTAGTTGATTAAAAATAGGAAAAAATGGCCAACTACAATCACCTCCCATGTAATCCTACCTCTGTTCATGCTGAACAGCCTGGTTTAGTCACCTTTAACTAAAGGGCCTTCCCTGAGCAGGAAACCAAAATCCAGCCGGTCCCTCACCAAGTGTCATTCAGCTGTGTACAAACATCCTCCAGATGGGAGTCATCCTGTTTTTTTTTTACATCAACTGGTGCCTGGCTTGCCCACGCCTTGCCTGTGACCCATAAATGACCTTCTGAAGGCTGTCCGGCCTCTTAGAAGCTTAGTGGCTTTCCAGAAGGCGCGTGCCTGGGTAATTCTACCCATTCTGGTAGATAGCATATCCAAAGGCTATTTCATGTGCCTTGTTACCCTTTGGAGCAGTTACTGAAAGCAAACGTAGAACTGCTGCAGGGTCAAAGCTCACTACCTTTTCCTGTTTTTTTTTTTTTAATTTAATGGTTTGAGGGTGCAGAGGACATCCATGTAGGAAATTAAATCATTCAGAAGAAAATCTATGCTCAAAAATTAATAATAACAGGATTATAAGACTGTTGTCACCACAATTCCCATATAAAGAGTTAATGGAAATTAAAAATTTAAAAAACACATATGTAAGGGAGGGTTTTAAATGAAGAGAAAGAAAAACGACAGCACTGAAAACGAAACAGAATTGATTTTCTGTGAAAGGTTCATGAGGAAAAATGTTCTCCCTGTTGTTTAGTAGTTGTATGAACCTGAAAGAACTACACGTTCAAAGATAGATGCATGGTTGTTGTTTCATTTTTTGTATCCTGGGAAAATTCCACAGAGATGTACAGGTTTTTCAACTGACTATTGGTACCGCTGTATAATCGAAGAGAAATTTTGTACGTTTCCACGTAAGAAAACCCTGCCAAAGTTAATTCTTTCCTGACTGTTTGAATTTCAAATTGGAACTTTTAAACCTTTTTATGTTTATTGTAGGTGCCAAACCTGCCTCAACCGAAGCACCGACTTTAACCAAGCCAAACAACAACAGAGTTCCTAAGGGCAATGCTCAGTCCAAAAACAGTGCAGGTGAGGAAAATGTTCATTTCTGTCAGGATTTAGTTCCTTGGAATTTCATTTGGTTTTTGTGTGGATTTAGTTCCATTGAGCTGGTATTTTAGTTTTGTCAGGAAATTTCTCTAATTTTATTCCGGTATTTGTCAGATTACAGTTCCTGGGAACTTTGTTTTTATGCCAGTCAGATTGCAGTTCCTGGGAACTTTGCTTTTATGCCAGTCAGATTGCTGTTCCTGGGAACTTTGTTTTTATGCCAGTCAGATTGCAGTTCCTGGGAACTTTGTTTTATGCCAGTCAGACTGCAGTTCCTTCGAACTTCTATTTTAAATTTTTGTTTGGATGCGCATCCTTAGAACTTTAATGCTTCATTTGTGTGTGGATGCAGTTCCTTTGGCCATTGGCCTGCTCTTCACCAGTTTTGTCATTATCGGTGCTGCCTTTGGGGCCTTCTACTGGTATCGGCGACCGAGATCCCCACCCACCGAACAGACTGTCTTGGTGGAGGAACCTGAGCACGATATGGTGCGCTTCAGCATTGGAGCGAGATAACCAATCAGGACGTGCGGATTGGCACAGGAGCCTCAGCAGCACACTGCGATTGGACGAGAGTGTCAAGTCAGGAACATGATCGAAGAGATGCATTAAGAAGCAGCAAGGCGCAGTTTGTAACTTTTCCAGATTGAAGTCCGTCAGTTTCTCTCACCGGTGACAGAAACAATCAGAAAGAGCCAGCTTGGGGATGACCTTTTCTATTTGAAAGAGTCATACAGGTTCTTCTGCTTGTTGGTGAAGAACAGAAATACAATTCCATCTATATTTCCCCATATTTTGTCCTTGTCACTCCCTTTTCAAGCCATTTAGGCTCCACCCCCCCTAATTATGTAAATAAGAGTATCCAGTGGTATAAAAGCTAAGCCTAGAGACTGCAATAAAATGAACTTTTGGATTTTTGTAAATAATCAGGGAAAAAGAATATTTGGATGTAAATTTGAAAAAAAGGGACGGCACGAATTGCTTGACGAAACATTTTTTTGCAAAGACAGGTTGTGTATTTTTTTTCATTTTTTATAAAGGATGCTGAAGACATAAACTTTAATAAAGCTATTAAAAAAAGGAAAATAACAGAATTTGAAATTTACTAATTTTAATTTCAAATGTGTTATTTTTCACAGTCACTGATACATTTTGTTCCATTTTATAAATTTTACTCGTACGGAATTTCAGTGTAATATTTAAATATAAATTACCTTACAGCTATGTTTCATTTCTGCTAAAAATTGGCCTTAAGCAAGAACTCAATAAATGAATAAATCACTTGAGTTGTGGTGCATGATAAACAAGTTTTACTGTAAGTTATCTTAAATTCCTATTGTGAGGATCTGAACTAGTTTATCCCTATAAATATGTTTCAATTGCAAAAGACAGTATTTAATTTCATTGAATGAATAAATTTGCATCACTTCACATCGCTAAAATATTTTGTTTTCCCATCAAAAAATCATGCAGCTGTTGATTTCAAAGAAGTGTTAAACCTAACAGATCTTCAAGTATATTTGAGAGTAATGATGTAGTGAAAATGGCAGAAACAAAATTAACCAAACTATGGTGGAAATCGCCCAATCTAGTTCTTCTTATTCTTTCCATTTTTTAATTGTTAAAGAAGAGTTGTTTAATTTTGTGGACTTTACCTGTCATCTCCCTATGGAGCTCAAAACTAAAATTACCAGCGCATCAAAAAGGCCTGAACGACTATAGAAATGGTAATAAGAGTAAAAGCACAGTTCCTAGACCATTCCCTCTTAAGTGTTTTCTTACGTCTTTTCCCGTATTTAAAAAAGGTAGGTCATTCGTGAACACTGTTCCCGAATGACCTGACTTCATTTTAAGCATGTGCTGTTGGCAAATCGGACTGGTTTCTTCTGGAGACTCTCCACTAGTTCTTCTTGACTCCATAAACCACCATGAATTCGGAAGATTTCTCGAGTGTGCCGTCTTCGTTGTACCCATACTCGGCCCGAGCCCATAGCCAGGCACGCCGTCTGGTTAGACTCGCCAACTTGCTCCACGGCCTCAAGACATCCAACCATATAACTGTCCGGCAGAAAAAAAGGGAAAGTTAACTTCCTCTCAGGAATGAAAAGTTGGAAACTTTTACACTTCCACAAGTTCTTCAAGGAGCGAAACAAAAGTAGTCCAAAACTGAAGTCAAATAGAAACATTGAATTGAATATAATAGTCCTATGAAGACATTTCATCATCGAAGTGAAGCTATTGTATTGCGATCAGGTCCATCGTGCCCCTAAAACATTGGCATTTACCGCCTAACTCGCCTTTCTCCACAATGTTCCTTTAATCAGCAGTAATTTCTTTTTGCTTGTTTGGTTTATGGAATATGTTGCTCACGCTTTGTTTTCTCTTCAGTAACGCTGAAGCGTAACTCCTGAGTCGTACAGCTGAGTTGAGAGTTTAGACCACTCAGAGAGTCCTCTCAGAAGTGTCTCCGCCTGCTCCTCGGTCTTGTGCCAAATTGTCACCCCCCTGCTTTGTGTACATTTTATGTTTAAAGAATTTCCTGTCAGTATTGTTCTGACAATTACAAGTGTGATGTTGGTTTATGCTACAAGAAGCAGTAATCGCTTCATAGCCAAGACGTGAACCTTCAGTCTTCATGTGACCAGCGCCGTCCCTGCTCGCTTGCCACAGAGGATTCTCGATATAATAAAGAGCGTCGTTACAACATCACTGTCATGGGGACACAAGTTCTGAGGATCCCAAACGCTTGATTTCTTCGGTGTTCGTTACTTTTTACCCCGATTAAACAAGATAACAAGGTCCCAGCAACGTTAACAATACATGAGAGCTAATTGTATGAGCTATTCGCTTGAGCAGAGAACCAGAGAAGTTTGATTTAGTGTAGGGGGAATTAAACGACCTTTTCTTTGCCAACTCTTGTTATTTGAGAGAGCATTGGCTCCCCCGGCCAGCAGATGGCTCCGATCTTGGTACGACTTAGGTCAGACAAGGAAGATGCTGGGGATGCTTCACCTTGAATTCCTGTCCCCACTCGGGATGCTCCTCAATCATCTTGGCCGCTCCGTCGAAGAAACTGAAGTCGTTGTTGGGAATGATGGCCAACATCTCGCCCCCGGGCTTGAGGCAGTCCACCCTGTTGCGCAGGACGGTTGCCACCTCGGGGAAGAGCTTGATGCGGTCAATGCTCACCACTTTGTCGAAGGCGCCCGTCCGCTTGGGGAGGTTGGGGCTGATATCCTCAAGGTCGTCCAGCAAGCACTCCACGTTGTCAGCAGGGTAATCAGTCTTCGCAATCTCAAGGATAGCAGGATCGACGTCGATACCTAAACGAAACGCAAATAGCACACACGATGTAGGTGTTTACAGTACATGTATTTTAATTTCACTACATATGTAAAGTGAGAATCTGGTAAGATCACTGGCGATATATGGCACCCGGGTCCTAGGCTCATCAGTCATCAAGCCCACGGCTGATAATGTCCCCTCCCTTGGCCTTTTGACCGGCTTCGTAGGCCTATATATCCTTACGTGCCCGTTATCAGAGCAAACCATTCCGAATGCTTGTTGTAGACCTACCGGTGATGACACATCGTACCCTAGTGGCTAGAATAACGGCTTCCTCTCCAGCTCCACATCCGACATACAGCATGCTACCCTGGGGACGACATGTCAGCTTGTCAAAGTTTTCCGTGGCCAGCCGGTTACAGATGGATCGGATGCCCGCTTTGGAGTGCCTATTAACGCTCAGTGAAACCACGAACTTCAGTTTTGTCTGTACGACTTTATCCATGCCAAATAACTGAAATTAAATTTTATTTGCAAGAAAACGTGTACGTAGTTTCAACGAATGTCATTTGGACTTATTTGTTTAAGAGTTCATCTACATGTATTTTCAACGCTTGTTGGGTAACTAAGGCCGATACCGTCCGTCCATAGGGGAGCATAAAAAATTCGATCCTTTGAATGTTTTTCATTGGAGGAATAAATACAGGAATTTGTGCGTTATGCCATCCAGATTTTGGCAGACTCTGCAGTACAAGGTCACGATGCGTATTATAAAACAATCCTCTGAATAGAATATGTATTGTAACCAGCAAAATGCCATGTCTGCGATCAGCTGGAAAAAAAGCAACAAGAGAATGGGACAAAATGAACTTTAGTGTCAGTGAGGGCCACGTGTAGACAGCTACGTAGGCCTGTAGAGGCCCCTGCCGCGTGACGGATATTTGAACTTTGCTGAATGCTGTTCACTTTCATCAGGGAGGTTTAAATCTTAGGGCTCTTGAAATCTTGTTTACAAAACTCGAATACATATGCAAGTGGACTTTGCTGTCCAGACCAATGTTTTTCCACAAGTCCTGATCTGTAGCCTTTGACAGTTTTTGCAACAGAATCGGCTGATGATCTGTTCGAAAGCGTGGGCTTTTTTGAGCAACTCGTTGGCGTTACCTCCGTTAGGCGACTGACAGGCCGAGGTATTCTGTATGATTAATATGGCTGGCTTTCCGTAAAAATGGAAACGAAGTTTTTCCATTTTCTATTTTTATTTAATTGGTCAATTAAGCTATATTTGACAAAGATTCATAAGCCGTTGGAATAATTTTTACTTAACATGTTTTTTACCAAAACAATTTTTGTTACACCCCAAAATTCATACATTTTACCCCAACAAATCAGCTTAATTTCATTAATGGGACCCGGGTTACCCCGATAAAGATCTAACAGCCCATTAAAATTCACAAAACCCCACTCGCCCTGCTCTGTCGTTTTACAATATTTAATGAGAATACAAGAATTTTTAAAAAAATATTGCCCAGGTCATGAATACAAGATCATTTCTGAAATATGCTATTATAAAAAGTACAATTGACAAAAATTCGATAATTTAAATATTTATTTCGTCACCAAGATTTCTTTGTAATCCATAGGCTTGGTAAATTTCTTTTGTTGCCTGTTTTCAGCCCAGCTTGCCGAAAATGTACATAAGTTTTGAGTTTGGAACTTTGTTAATGGTTACATTTCAAGCGAACATAAATGAACTTTTTATATGATTGGTTTTGGACTTGATCGGTTATGTCTTCGTCGGCTAGACTCGCCACTAGTTCTTCTTGATTCCATAAACCACCATGAATTCTGAAGGTTTCTTGAGTGTGCCGTCTTCGTTGCATCCGTACTCGGCCCGAGCCCATTGCCACATTGCCTCGAGGCACGCCGTCTGGTTAGACTCGCCAACTTGCTCCACGGCCTCAAGACCATCCGTCCATACCACTGTTCAGTGAGATTAAAAAAAAAGAAGAAAAAGAACAGGTATAGGCAAGAAAAAAAGGTGTTTTATAGCTCCATGATTCAATTCACCACGGCAGATATTGGTTTACAGCAACGAATGCTCGTAGACAGGTGGCACGCGTGTTTTGCTCTTAAATGTCTCGTTTGCCCCAAAACGCAAACGCCAGTGACTAAGTCTGCATGGACCGACCACCCAGGGCAGCAAATTGTAAAATGGTCGCTTATAAATGTAAAACGTAAGGTTCTCGGATTTATGAAAATGTTTCTCTAAATGCTTTAACTCCGTGACTATGGGTGTACACTCCACTTACATTTTGCTTTCTCTTCGCTCAAGCCAAAATTGAGCCGCTGAGTTTTGCATGAGAGTTGAGACCATTCGCAAATCTCTCTCATAAACCCCTCTGCCTCTCCTTCGGTCTTGTGCCACAGCGTCACATTCCTCTCCTGTTTTGTATATTCGTAATAAATAACACCCAACGACCAACGTGTATCGACAAGTAGGTTTTGCTCGGACAGAACAATGCAAAATCGAGACAAATGGAATAGTTTGATAACAACACCGAACAACAATTTTTACAACCTATTCCCACATCGACAATTTGTAGTGTTTTCGGAGCATAACTTTGTGGTTGAAGCTAACGAAAAAAATGGTACTTTAATTAACAGACAAACCAACCTCTGTATAAATAATTCAAAGAAGAAAACGTCGTAAAATTTTGATACCAGCATGCGTACGGTGTAGGCTTACAATATGGAATATTGTTACGCTCGAATTGGAACGGATGACAAACTGTGCTCAAACTTACGGCCAGCTTTTCCAATGGGCACAGCATGCACTGTTCCTAGGGCCTATAGAAAATCAAGGGCCAATGAAAAGAGAGCGTCTTTCTCTCTATTTTCGATCCTGAGAAAGTTGTTGCTGCTACGGACAGATGAGCCCTTCATCCCGTTACCAGGTGGGTGCTGGTACCCGTGGAGTTGAGCAGGCCATGCTTATTAGCTCTGGCGCCTTGCGGCCTTCGCAAAACCTAATCAAGCAGAAATAGTATGTCATTGCCACTGTACCTTATTTGACTGTCCCCATTCCGGATGCTCCTCGATTATCGTGGCTGCTCCGTCGAAGAAATTGAAGTCGTTGTTGGAAATGATGGCCAACATCTCGCCCCCGGGCTTGAGGCAGCCCACCATGTTGCGCAGCACCGTGTCCATCTTAGGGAAAAACATGGCGCGGTCGATGCTCACCACTTTGTCGAAGGCACCTGTCCACTTGAGGAGGTTGGGGCTGGCATCCCCAAGGTCGTCCAGCTTGTAATCCACGTTGTCAGCAGGAAAATCCCGCTTGGCGATCTCTAGGATAGCAGAATCGACGTCAATACCTGCTTCAGCACAAAATGTGAGAATATCAAAAGCTTAGTACCAAAATGGGGCGTCATTAATGATGCATCGTTGAGCACTAACTGTGTGGAAAGTTATAACAGCGACACGATCATGGAGTAACAACATATTGCCATTAACAAATTTAACCTGCGATCCAGGAAGAGAAACACGCTACAAACGTTTCTCAGTTAAAATGGTTGTACAAACGATATGAAAATTGCCAGGACTCGTTTAAAGGAGGTAAATATTGGCAACCTTTTGGTGTTATTTACCCAGAAGGCATAGTAGGCCTAGAACTGATACCAACGGTGGGAACTATATATCTCCAGCAACAATGGCACTTTAATACTTGGTAGGGTTTTCAGTATCCCACGGAACTTGGGGCGGTTGCTTCCATTCTTGTTCCATTGCACCGAGGGAGCATAATCGCACGAACCGGATCGCCAAATCTGTTGGCTGAGGCTTGGAACCACGCACGTGTCAGTAGCTGGGCCTAGCCACTCCCCTTCGGGTCGTGTGCAGTATTATTGTAAGCCACAGCCTAGTAGTTTAGACGTGACCTTCTTCGTACCTCGAGTCCAAATCTAGTTGTGTCCCTCACACTAACAATTTATGCAATTGACGCAATCTTGGTGCAAATTAGGTGATAGTCCAAACCAGTTCCATTTCATTATTTCATATGGGGATGAAATTTTTTTTATTCCATTACATGAGCCGAACGTAACTTTTTATTTGTGAACAAATGCGATTTGCTTATTAATAATCTCACAAATACACTATTTTGATTAAAACATGCCACCTCCCCATCGGATAGTTGATCAATCATAGGCGTCATGAAAGAGTCCCTAAAAGCAAAATGAAGAATTTAAAGAGCAAGAGAACGACAAAAAAGTAGGAAGAGAGGTGGTGAATTTAATCAGGTTACTTGAATATAACGCGATATCCAACCCCCCCACCGTTGAGTTGGTTGTTTGCTTCGGCGGAGTGCTTTGCCTGGTGAGCTGGCTTTAGATGGGGTCTGTAGTGTCTATACAGACATCTATACACATGTACATGCAAATGAATGAATGAATGCACATGTACATGCAAATAAAATATGAATACACATGTCATGCAAATGAAACATGAATACACATGTGCATGCAAATGAAACATGAATACACATGTACATGCGAATAAATACATGAATACACATGTAGGCCTACATGCGAATTTGCGAAAGCAGTTTGCCTAGTAATGAACCGTAGAAGATATTGATGGCTGGTATCCAAATAGCCAAGTGCTTACCCACAACATCCCGTACCCTAGTGGCCAGAATGACGACTTCCTCTCCAGCTCCACACCCGACATACAGCACGCTCTCCTGGGGACGACAGGTCAGTTTGTCAAAGTGGTCCATGGCCAGCCGGTTACAGATGGATCGGTTGCCGCCTTTCGAGTGCCTTACCTTCAGCGACACCACGAACTTCAGTTTTGACTTCAAGACTTTATCCATGCCGACTTATTTTCTTCCCGGTTGGTGTTTGGAGGTAAAATTACAAGGGACTGATGACGTCGCAAAGTCTAAAATATAATGTCGGTTACCAATATCCATGGCAGGAAGTGTACTGAATTAATTTCAAAGGCCATGCGGACACGGTCCAGCGATTCAGCGTGACCAACAACAAAAAACCCATAAAATCAGGACTATGAAAACTATATGCATGTACTGTATATAGGGGCCTAGTTCAAATACTCTTTCAACCATTTGCAGTGCATGTATACAGTTACTAACACGTGTATGCGCACGGCCACGGGCAGCAATGTGTCCTTTCTCCAGCCTTCTCAGCGGCAAACGTAGCCAGGGAAAGTTCCGTTTGCTTTTTGAAAGGAACAAATTCCCTCAATTATGCAACCCTTTGTACCCAACGCAGTGCATGGCAGCCAGTCTACGTTAGCCATTGTTTTATGTCTCGGGGAGGGGCGTTAACACACGTGCTTCTCAAAGATTACGAGAGCGGAGGAGTCCAATTGGGCTGGGTATTTTAAGGACTGACAACCATTACCATGTGTCTTAAATAATACAGACTATAATTTCTGAGCGAACTTCTCAGTGACAGTATTCACAAGTCGGCCATGTTGAATCAAAATTCAGCGAGTTTTACCTTTTCATTTGGGGAACCTATAAAACTAAAAATGCATGACCCCCCAAAAAGAATAAAGTTCAAAGGTAAATTAACTTCCATTCACGATGACGGATAGTGTGAAAAAGTTGTGATTTATATATCTAACTGTTAAAGCAACATTTAAAAATAAATGAAACCGAAGAATGGAATACCAAATGGTCTGACACCAACCCATTTGACAGGTTACGTTGAATAAAATAGGTTCAGGGAACGTGATTGATAAAAAAGTCTTTCCCTGCGAATCAGGTTTGTTGTAGACAACTGTAGATAGTGTCAATTGATTAGAAAGTTTCAAGAAGATTGCTGCTGAGATGCAGGGTAAGTTTCGAGCGTAAACGAAAACCTGCAGTTCCAACACAGCAAAAGATGGCAGACCTGCCACCTGACAGGTTTACCCCGGACAGACCACCATTTTCATTTGTCGGACTCGATTGTTTTGGGCCATTCCTGGTGAAACAGGTTAGGAACCAAATCAAACGATATGGATGCATCTTCACAGTCATGTCTACCATCACGTGCAGAGCATGTTGAGATTCTGAACACATTGGACACTGATTCCTTCATAAACGGCATGCAGAGACTTATCAGCCGACGAGGACAACCAATAGAGCTGAGATCAGACCATGGTTCTAACTTCATTGGGGCGGAGCGTGAGCTCAAGGAAGCCGGGAGAGAGCTACATAAAAGGAAGGTTGACAAGTTCCTTCTAAAGAAGGGAATCCAGTGGAAGTTCAACCCCCCCCCACCGCTTCCCATATGGGAGGTGTCTGGGAAAGACGAATAAGGTCGACACGTAGGCTGCTGAGTACACAGATGAGAGAGCAGGTAGTGAGTGATGAAACCTTGTCAACTGTAATGGGTCTAGTTGAGTCTATCATAAACAATAGGCCAATAACCACCGTTTCAGTGACATCAACGACTTGGAGCGGAGCCACTCACGCCAAATCACTTATTAGGCCTACTTCTTCGTGGTACATCGTATTCACTTGGCGAATTCGAGGAGAAAGGTATGTATGTTCGGAGAAAATGGAAGCAAGCACAGTACCTGATGTATTTTGGAGAAAATGGATCCAGGAATATCTCCCAACACTCCAGATGGAACCCAAAAAGGAACATCACGGTTGGCGACTTGGTACTTATTGTCGACAATGACCTCCCTAGGAACAAATATGGCTTCTTGGGCGTGTTCTTGAAACTTACCCAGGGAAGGATTAGCTTAAGAGTGGTCAAAGTCAAAACCAGGTCATCAATTATGACTAGGCCAGTGCAGAAGTTGTGTCTCTTATAATCAGTGGATAACATCTTATTATAATCAGTGGATCAGTGACATTTAAGGGGTCGGCATATTAAGTCAGAGTGCGCTTTCATCGATATATTAATTTGTTTGTTGCCTTCGTCAACAGAGGGCGCTGTTCAATGGGCACATTTAATCTGGAAATTTCGGCTCACACTTTAGGAGTCGCTATGTACATGTACGTGTAATTTAGTTTTAGTGCACACGTCATCCCAAAGTCGTATGTGGAATTCATTCAATGCATCATTTGAATTTACTTTATTGGTTGTTGTGGTTTTCTATGGGTATTTCGGGATAGGCTTAAGTATTTAACGTGATAGAAAATACAACAAAAGGAGAGACAATTTACGAAGCTACGGTGTCAGCACATGTCAGGGAGTAGGGTTTATTGCATTTAATCGGTAATCATGCACCTGTACAACTGTACATGGTTATCATCATCCATCCTGGTAATTGTTTTTTATTCTGTGATAAGTTATGATTGCTTAAATCTAATTAGATAAACAAATTGCCGTTGTTGATTCATGTTGTTAATTTGTAACGGTTAAAGGCCAAACTGTGTTCACTTGTGTACTTTTTGTGGACAGACTAAAGTAACCGTGTTAAGCGTGTCCGTGATCACTAGCTCACGTGTTCATATCTAAGTTCATTGCATGGACATCTGTCATCCATCACACCTGTTTTTTACCCCAAAAATCTTTACACCCCAAAATTCATACATTTTACCCCAACAAATCAGCTTAATTTCATTAATGGGACCCGGGTTACCCCGATAAAGATCTAACAGCCCATTAAAATTCACAAAACCCCACTCGCCCTGTAATCTGTAGTTTTACAATATTTAATGAGAATACAAGAATTTAAAAAAAAAATGCCCAGGTGATGAATACCATATCATTTCTGAAATGCTATTATAAAAAGTACAGTTGAGAAAAAAATCGATATTTCAAATATTCATCACCAAGATTTCTTTGGAATGCAAAGGCTTGGTAATTTCTTTTGTTACCTGTTTTCAGCCCAGCTTGCCCAAAATTTACAGACGTTTTGAGTTTTGAACATTGTTAATGGTTTCATTTCAAGCGAACAAAAATGAACGTTTTATATGATTGGTTTTGGACTTGATCGGTTGTGTCTTCGTCGGCTAGACTCGCCACTAGTTCTTCTTGATTCCATAAACCACCATATATTCCGAAGGTTTGTTGAGTATGCCGTGTTCATTGCTCTCATACTCGGCCCGAGCCCATTGCCACATTGCCTCGAGGCACGCCGTCTGGTTAGACTCGCCAACTTGCTCCACGGCCTCTAGACTATCCAACCATACCACTGTTCAGTGAGATTTAAAAAAAAAACAGGAACAGGCAAGCCTAAAATGTGATTCAATTCACCATGGCAGAAATAGGTTCACAGCAACGAATGCTCGTAGACAGGTGACACGCGTGTTTTGCTCTTAAATGTCTCGTTTGCCCCAAAACGGAAACGCCAGTGACTAAGTCTGCATGGACTGACCACCCAGGGCAGCAAATTGTAAAATGGTCGCTTATTAATGTAAAACGTAAGGTTCTCGGATTTATGAAAATATTTCTCTAAATGCTTTAACTCCGTGACTATGGGTGTACACTCCACTTACATTTTGCTTTCTCTTCGCTCAAGCCAAAATTGAGCCGCTGAGTTTTGCATGAGAGTTGAGACCATTCGCAAATCTCTCTCATTAACCCCTCTGCCTCTCCTTCGGTCTTGTGCCACAGCGTCACATTCCTCTCCTGTTTTGTATTGTTAAAAAACAACACCCAACAATCAATGAGATCGACTAGTAGGTTTTGATCAAAAGGAATAATGCAAAATCAAACCGAACAACAATTTTTTAAATCTATTCCCAATTGACAATTTTTAGTGTTTTCGGAGCATAGCTTTGTGATTGAAGCTTACGATACAAAAATGGTATTTTAATAAGCAGGCAAACCAAACTCTGTTTAATAATTCAAAGAAGAAAAAGTCGTAAAATTTTAATACTAGCATGCGTACGGTGTAGGCTTACCCTATGGAATATTGATACGTTCGAATTGGAACGGATGACAAACTGTGCTCAAACTTACGGCCAGCTTATCCAATGGGCACAGCATGCGCTGTTTCTAGGGCCTATAGAAAATCAAGGGCCATTGAAAAGAGAGCGTCTTTCTCTCTATTTTCGATTTGAAGAAAGCTCCAAATAAGCCATTGCTGCTACGTACAAATCAGCACTTCAGTCCCTGTTACCAGCTACATTAAACTGGTGCTGGTACCCGTGAAGCTGGACAGGGCATACTGAGCTCTGGCGCCTTGGGCCTTCGTAAAACTTAATCAGCAACATTGAGGTCAAGCGAAAATCATCCGTCAGAAATGATGTGTCGTTGCATATACCTTAAGTGACTGTCCCCATTCCGGATGCTCCTCGATTATCGTGGCTGCTCCGTCGAAGAAATTGAAATCGTCGTTTGGAATAATGGCCAACATCTCGCCCCCGGGCTTGAGGCAGCCTACCATGTTGCGCAGCACCGTAGCCATCTTAGGGAAAAACATGGCGCGGCCGATGCTCACCACTTTGTCGAAGGCACCTGTCCACTTGGGGAGGTTGGGGCTGGCATCCCCAAGATCGTCCAGCACGTACTCTACGTTGTCAGCAGGAAAATCCCGCTTGGCGATCTCTAGGATAGCAGAATCGACGTCAATACCTGCTTCAGCACAAAATGTGAGAATATCAAAAGCTTAGTACCAAAATGGAGCGTCATTAATGATGCATCGTTAAGCACTAACTGTGTGGAAAGCTATAACAGCGACACTATCATAGACTAACAACATAGTGCCATTAACAAAATTGAAACACGCTACAAACGTTTCTCAGTTAAAATGGTGGTGCAAACGATGTGAAAATTGCCAGGACTCGTTTAAAGGAGTTAAATATTGGCAACCTCCTGGTGTTCTTTACCCAGAAGACATAATAGGCCTAGACTAGAACTAATACTAACGGTGGCAACCGGGGACTACTATCTCCAGCAAGAATGACACTTTAAGTCAAGGAAGTGTGATAGAAACTGCACTCTTTAGCAAAATTTTCTTTCACACTGGACACGCTATAGGCCTATATGTTTAATTCTGTTCGTCATACTTGAAGAGAAGACAAACGAAAGAGGGAATAAATATTGGGAAAAAAGAGTGTGCGTAGGAAGCAGCTTTTAAGTGAAATTTGATCGAGGAACGGAATCAGACCCTCAGCCACAATATCCACCCTGCTGGCTTCACTGAGACTCGGTGGGGTTTGCAATATCCCGCGGAACTTGGGGAGGTTGCTTCCGGGTACAGTCCACTTATTCAAGCCCCTTTGAAAACAGTGTAAAATCAGCACTGGGCCCATACCCAATATCATGCATGCCAGCATCCCTGAGATTTCTGAAATACAAATGAAATTACTGTCTGCTTTCTAATTTTTTGTGGGTTAACTAATTACATTTTTAATTATTCCCACAAAACAAAATCACCCCCCGAAAAGTGATATTTCCGAAGTCTGATTACCATTTCTGTGGCAACCCTCAACTTTCTCGGGCACTCAGGACCATTTTTCAACCGTAGTGTTTAGCCATTCTGCTCTCACATCAAAGCTCAAAGACCCAGGGAGTCGATCCTGGCAACGATTTACACAATCTCACCATTGTGGGGGCCAAACAATCTCCCTTTTCAAAAGAAACGGGGGGGGGGCACTTTTAATGCTAATAAGCTGGCCAGAAATTCTCACTTGAATTAGTGGTCAGCATACTTCCATTCTTGTTCCCGTGTGCAATATTATTGTAAGCCACAGCCTAGTAGTTTCGACGCGACCTTGATCGTACCCCCGAATCAGTCAAGCTGTGTCCCTTCATGCAGTTGACCCAATCTTGGTGCAAATTAGGTCAAAGTGCAATCCAGTACCATTTCATTATTTCATACGGGGATGAAAAATATTTTATTCAATTGCACGAGCCGAACATAACTTTTTATTTGTGAACAAGTGTGATTTGCTTATGAATAACCTCACAAATACGCTATTTAAATAATGTCACCTCTCCATCGGATCAATCATAGACGTCATGAAGGAGTCCCTAAAAGCACAATGAAGAATTTAAAGAGCAAGAGAACGACAAAAAGGAAGAAGAAAGGTGGTGAACTTCATCAGGTTACTTTAAAATTCCGCGATATCCGCCCCCCCCCCACCGTTGAGTTTGTTAGTTTGCTGCTGCGGAGTGCTTCGCCCGGTGAGCTGGCTTTAGATAGGGTCTGTAGATGTCTATACCGACATGAATACACATGTGCATGCAAATGAATACATGAATGCACATGTGGCCTATATGCGAATTTGCGAAAGCAGTTTGCCTAGTAATGAACCGTTGAAGATATTGATAACTGGTATCCAAATAGCCAAGAGCTCACCCACAACATCCCGTACCCTAGTGGCCAGAATGACGGCTTCCTCTCCAGCTCCACACCCGACATACAGCACGCTATCCTGGGGACGACAGGTCAGTTTGTCAAAGTGTTCCATGGCCAGCCGGTTACAGATGGATCGGTTGCCGCCTTTCGAGTGCTTCACTTTCAGCGACACCAAGAATTTAAGTTTTGACTTCAAGACTTTATTCATGCTGGCTTATTTTCTCCCGGGTTGATGCTTGGAGATATAATTGCAAGGGGCTGAAGCGGTCGCAAAGTCTAAAAACATAATGCCGGTGACCGATATCCATGGCAGGAAGTGTATTGAATTAATTTCAAAGCCATACGGATACGGTCCAGCAATTCAGCGTGACCATCAAAAAAGACAAAAGAAAAAAATAGAACTCCATAAAATTAGGACTATGAAAACTTTATGCATGTACTGTATATAGGGGCCTAGTTCAAATACTCTTTCAACCATTTGCAGTGCATGTATACAGTTACTAACACGTGTATGCGCACGGCCACGGGCAGCGATGTGTCCTTTCTCCAGCCTTCTCATCAGCAAACGCGGCTTTTTGCAAGGAGCATATTCCCTCAATAAGAGGGAGATATTTGTACCCAACGCAATGCATGGCAGCCAGTGTCTATGTCTCGGGGAGGAGCGTGCTTCTCAAACGTTACGAGAGTGAAGAATCCAATTGGGCTGGGTATTTTTAAGGACTGGCAACCATTACCACGTGCCTTAAATAATACAGACTATAATTTCTAAGCGAACTTCTCAGTGACAGTATTTACAAGTCGGCCATGTTGAATCGAAATTCAGCGAATTTTACCTTTTCATTTGGGGAACCTATAAAACTAAAAATGCATGACGCCCCAAAAGAATAAAGTTCATAGATAAATCAACTTCCATTCTCGATGGCGAATAATACATAATAAATATATATAATATAATATAATATATAATAATATATAAAATTTATATATCCCAATGTTTAAGCAAGATTTTTAAAAAATAAATGAAACCGAAGAATAGAACACCCATTTGACAGGTTACGATGAATAAAATAGGTTCAGGGAACGTGACTGATAAAAAATTCCTTCCCTGCAAATCAGGTTTGTTGTAGACAACTGCAGTTAGTGTTAATTGATTAGAAGGTTTCAATAAGATTGCTGCTGTGATGCAGAGTAAGTTTATGGGAAATTAAGGGTTTTTGTATCTTTGAACGGCCCTGTTGTTACTTCTAACCGCCAGTTATTTCTTTAATAGAAAAAAATAATAAAAATCAGCTAGTGGTGTCCCATAAAATAATTGTACAACTAAAATTTATATTATGACTTCTGGAAGATTTGAAATTTAAAGATATTCAAACTGCTTTGACAATTCAAAGAATAGGCCTAAGTGCTGTTACATTAGTGCGCACCAGGAATCACTCCTTTAATAAATATATGTGGCATGCATTGGTCACCGTAGATTTCAAAAGCCGCCCAGGGCCAATTTCATAGAGCTGCTGATTAGCACAAAATACTTAAGCGCGAAGAAACCTTACTTGATAAATCAGGTAACCAGCTAAAACTCCATGTATATTGTTTTGGGATTGTATTAAGCTGTTTTTTTTTGGTTAGCATGACACTCAGTTAGAGTTTGAGCTGGTAACCTTTGTTTATTAAGCAAAGTTTTTTCCCTCTTAAGCAGATTTTGTGCTTAAGCAGCTCTATGGAACTGGTTTGAAGCAGCTGGTTGCGTAGAACCTTGGAGGTAGGAAAAGAATGAAAATTGTGAGTACGTGTGCGAGTCTCAGTCTTGGGTTTTTCTTTCTCTGGTGATGCACCTAAAAAGAAAATTACATGCACCGACAGCACTTGTAAAATCCAATCTAACTTGACCCAGGGTTTCAATTTTGGGGGACGACTTGACTCGAGGACAAATTGACCCGGGGACGACTTGACCCGTTTCCGTTAATTGAGCCCGGCTTATATTATACATGAACGTGTACTCCCTTTTCGGGGGGTGAGTTTGTTTTCTGTGAAGTTTTTAAAATGGCATCCCCCCACCCAACCAACTGAATAGAAATGGAAGGATTAAGGACTTGACAATAAATTACTTGGATACTGCAACAATATCGTCTTGCACTGTTACTTAGCCCTATAAAACTTTGTTGATTTTACACTCTTTTCAAGGGGGCTTGAATTAGAACACAGCGCCCTCTTGTGATCGTTATTAGTGACTAAAATGTCATTGGTATCCTGGGAGAAGTATTGTTTTATTCCGTGTTTGATTTTGTAGGAACCAGCTTGTTCTTATCGACCGGCATGCATTGTACTTACGTACGTGTGGACGTCCGTTTACGTACAACGCGTATACCGGTCAGTTTATTATTTCGGGAATGGCGTTACTGCGATGTGACCGTGAAATATTTTGTCTTCTAAAATGAGCTAAAGATTATTTTTCTTGAAAATGGCCGGTATCTTCGCTCGGTACAACGAGCCAAGAGATTTCCAGGTAAGGTTTCAACCACCTTATTCGACTGGAAGGTGCATTTTTATGGCTACATGTATGCTTTGCTTACCACCAGTATAAGCGCTTTACAGTCACTTCGCCCCATGGCCCCATATTTCCTCGTTGCCCCTAACCACTTCGCCCCATCCCCACATCGCTCTATCTCCACTTTGCCCCATCCCCCTTCTCCCCATTTCCACTTTGCCCCCTGTACATGCCGCTCTCGAATGTGTTAGTGTTACAAGCCTCTTCAAAAAATGGTCTAATGGTTGAGACTCAGAGGAGTTCACGACAGGCCTACATCATGTACATGTATGCATGTATTGAAAACTCTATGGCCTTCACTAAATTACATGTAATGTTGACTGTGTTGTCCGTGCCTGGTGAATCAATAGGCCTATGTATCATGATTCATTTTTTTAATGGTTGAACTAGCATAGGGTTGATTTCTCATCCTCTGAGTTTATTTCAAGCAATACACAATTCTGTCCACATCGGTCTGGTAATTCTCAATGTATCCAGACAGTTGTGCACGGCCATCAGATAAAACCTTGACACACCACGGCAGGAAATTTTGTGGAAACATGCTCGCTTTAAGTACAAACAAAACAACCTAAAAACAAAGATACCTGTACACACGTAAACAAGATACTAAACTTTAAAAAATCTTGCAACATCAATTTTTTTTCAATGTGTGAGGTCATGTACATGTATGTTCACTGCAGCATGAAGAGACTGGCTGCCACACTCTATCACGCATTCTCTTGCATGGGTGCAGCGCACCAGGAACCAGCACTTTGTGCACATGTTTTTACCACAGCGACAGTGAAACACGAAGAGAAGTTGCGAAATTAGCAGAGGTTGCTTTTCAAATTTTGCAAACACAGACGTTATAGTGAAAAAAATCTCTTTCTGGTACATTTGTGAGAGCAGAAAAGATAACAAGATTTATTTATTTGACTTTCTGATATTTATTGAAATTGTTTTTTCTAACTTGCAATAAAAATGTTAGGGTGTCGTCGAAAAATTTGGGTCGGTGGGGAAATCGGTAGCATTGTTTTGGCCTTTGCAAGTTGGATTCTCTGACCGTTATTTGGGTACTCAAACGATGTTTTTATTGGTTGCATCTAGGCCTATGCATCTGTTACCAAAGAAAAGAGTGAACAATAATTGATGGGGTGAAGTGGCATTGGGCGAAGCGGAAATGGAGCGAAGTGACTAACAGCCGTCGTGATCTGAAAAATCTGGAAAATACCAACTTGAAAAATCAAATGTCAAAGGTCCTGCTGGCTCAAAAATATAACTTTGAGGGATGATGAGCAAGGAATTAATTTTAAGCAGCTTTATGGCATAGTTAAGGAAGCCAATAAAACAACAGGCCTTTGGCTTAACTTTTCCTCTAGAGGTTCAGAGGCTCCCTAGCCTTCCAAACTGTTAAGTAATTTACAGGGACAAACGGCAGGACAACATCAGCTTTTGATAACTAAAGGCACCTTTCCATAGGTACAGTGTACGTATTGGGGTGTGTCGTGTACACGATGCGTTCATGCGTTTCACTTTCACGGACATAGATATTAGATTCTACTGAAGTAACACGTGTGTGTTGCGCTCGCCCGTCAAAATTGCCCCGGGAATGCAAGTGTTGACGTGCATGTGGAAAGGTGCCTTTACTCTGAAGTCCTTAGATGCTGGAAAAGCTGTAGCTCAAATCGACATAAATAGACATAAACAAAAGTGTGCAAGCATTGGAGATGTATCTATGGATAGATTGGGCAAAACCCACATCGGAGCGAAAAACATGCATTTATTTATCCTCTATGTTATAAAGCCAGAGATACATGTAAGTAAGCCTACAATGATGCTTCATCATTATTTCATCAAATGTCATTCATTGTGGCTTTTTTTACAACCCATAGCGTATTGCGCCATGTAAAGTGCGAGTGCCAAAATGCTCAGAGTCAGGCAGCCCTTGTGCTTGTACATGTACGCGTAGATACATGTAGAACCTAGCTCAGACAGAAAAGGAATGAACATAAAGTAGTCTTGAGTGACCCTATGGCTTTTTACATTACAAAAACAGTCAATAGACAAATGATATTTATTGATGTGTTACAGTTTTGTCGTAGGTTTACATGATTTGACAAAACTTGCTTTTTCATTGAAAGACCACAGTTAGCAGGCATGAAATTTTTGACTTTTTGCTTTGATTGCTTTTAGGGCCAAGATCTGGACAGCTATGAAGATGGACACGATGGTGAAGATGACATCACGAGAGCCTCCGTCGACGTCCACATTCCAGAGGTATGTTGATACAGATGGGCTTCCCTCTTCACCCTAACTATCCCTGATGTACCTGTTGGTTATGTTTGCCTCCCTCTTTCCTGGCCTCCTAGCAGTGCTGTTGAGACCATCACAAGACCATTTGTAAGACCAAACACAAAATCAAGTCACATGATCAGTCACAAGCAACTGAGTGAACAGTGACAAAGGAATGCCATTGTTGAGGCTCATTGAAGGAGTATGCGACTCGAAATCAGACTGGAGGTCTTGTGGGGTCTTGCTATGATCTTAACAGGTCTGGACCGCAATACCGCTCCCCGGCCCACCCACTGAAGATGTGGGGATGGTCACTGTAATGACATCCCACTCCGGGGGAAGCCTTCCCCTGTAGTGTACCGGTGGCAAAGGTATGACAGTTCCCATGTTGAAGAGTGCAACATGTGACAAAGTCCTGATGTAAGACCTTGAGCCGGGGAGGATGGGGAACGGGAGAGAATTTAATGGTGCACCACTGCTGAGCCATTGCAACATGAAGATGTTTCCAGGACCTCTAACCCTTGTACTGAAACCAATGGCATCTTTCTTGTGTTTATCTTTATGCTGTTTAAGAGAGCCCAGTACTTTTCGGCCCGTTCCTTCTCTTTCCTGTAAGATTTGCTAATTTGTTGTTTTTTTTCAGAAGGACCTGAGAAGGTAAAGGCTAATTTATTAACCCTAACAGTCCTCAGTCCTCCAACAGGTGAAGGATTGAGGAGTGTTAGGGTTAATGTACATGTATTTAGAACATGTTGGGAAATATTTAAATTGGGAGACTGCTGAAAAAAAAGTAGAGTGCAGCTTCTACAAAAAATTCCAATAGGGTAGAAACACCTGTGAACAGATGAAACGATAATTTTAAATTCTAATGTGCAGATGTGCAATTTGGTCCATGGCCCAAACAAAGAAAGAAAAAGAAGCGTGTCCGGTTCCATGCCTCTCACACTCCTGTTTTCTTGTGTGCATGCAACAGGACAATGTTGGGTACCGCCTCCTCCGAAAGCAAGGCTGGAAGCTAGGTCAGGGGTTGGGCCGCACGCAGCAAGGTACTGGTCTGCATTCTCTCTGTCTCATTTGCTACTTGTTTCATGTTTCATTGTCAATTTTTTTTTTTATTTGTCGCGAGACTGTTTTTGTGTGCGTGGTTTGAATATTCCCCCCCTCCCCCACTGGTATGCATCTCAAGACAGATTTCTGTGTTTGTTGCCCAGGGCTCTGGTGAGTGTTAAGCGAGAATGTGTATATTTTATATTTTGGCTGGTTTGGAGATGTGTTTTTTCGAGCACCTTCACTCGGTCACCCCCTTGAAATGAATATTTTTTTTCTACTGGGTTTTTGTGTTGTACTAATGTATGTAGTATTTTTGGTTCCTGGTATGGGTTAATGAACTTTGTAGGTGATGAAACATCTAGAACATGTAGAAAGTCTTGGCATTGCAAGATTGAAAGCTGTTTTAGTGCATGCTTGAATACATGCTTGAGTACAATTTGTATTCAGTTTGTGAATATTATTTAGTCAGCCGTTCAAGGAAGTATATATACATGTACGTGTAAATTATAAAAGGAGATATCATAGACAGTGAGATATACACCTGTTTAAATGTATGTCATAGACAGTGAGATATCATTCACCTGTTTAAATGTATTGTTATATCTTAGACATTTGAAATCCTATTTTTAAGATGTACATGGATCTTTAACACCCGAGATTTACATGCATGTACAGTATGGTAATGCAACTTGAAACGAGTTTCACTGTCACAAACATCTTAAAATAGTTTCCACTTGGTCAATATTTGTGACGCATTTCCCCTCCAGGCCAAACCACTCTCATGTTACCCGCACTGAAGAGCCACAATAATGGGCAGGTTTTGGGTTAATGGAATTCACCATTATCTTGTCTGCTGCCCGGGAGTGTGAAATTTCCCTGAAGTGTGCTGCACGGTTCATACGTGGCTCGGATGTATTCGGAATGAAATGTTGGCCAAATGCAGCTCTTGGAAAATCTGGGCCATCCCACATGCAGACGTTCGTTGAGTCACTCATTAATTTATGGGAGAATGCAGAAGATCTTTAGAAATTACCTTCAACTGTATGCATACATGTACATGTACACAGTTGTACATTGTACGTGATGTTCTCAGATATAGATTATGTGTAGGCAGAAAGTGTGTTCTGTACACATACACTGCACATACATGCAGTACGAACCTGCTGAATGCGAAGTTCAGAATTGATGCTGTGTGTCGCATTCCATGGCACAAATTTTCGGGCACAGATGTTTAAGCATCTACATGCACATTGTGCATAAATTTACTGTTGGTATGTGCAAGCACATTACACATGTACATTGTACATTAACATGTACATGTAATTCAAAGATTTCGGTGTTGAATCAATTCTGATCCTTTCTGCATCCATAAGAAAACTTGACACATTGTGAACATTGGTTGGCCTAGCAAGGACCTATTCAGTACATGTCCTGTTAAGTTGGAAACCAATTCTTCTGAACATTTTAGTTTGCTTCCATTGGAATGCAATACCAGGAAGTGTGTGTGTTTATAAGGATTCAGGACAGCAGGGCTTTTGTGCCATTTTTTTGTTTACTTGTTTACCAAGGATGTGTTCCCAGTTTACTGCATAGTGAACTTTCTGTAGGCGTGAGGAAGCTTTCTGGCAAAGAGAGTTTTCCTTGAGGTTTATCATGGAGGTATAGGGTTGATCATCCTCTAGCTTAATCCAAAGAGATCCCTTGTAATTTGAACCACTTTTGACATGACTGAAGGCTGCAGATAAGGAAGCAATAAATATAAAGCACATGTACCCTGTACACACAGGCTAATGTACGCATCTGGACAGGTACATGCACTGTACCATACCTGCACAGATGCCTTTTCATCTCTTCGGCTTCCCTGAAGACCCGTTCAAAAAATGACACAAGCTCAGAACAAGGCAGTTAAACTGTCCAAGTTGCTGTCATTCAATGTCAGTGCAATATATGCACTGTCTGTATTAACTTACTGGTACGTACATGTACATTGCACACCATGACAGGTACGTGCAGATACATAAGTGGTGTAATTACAAGAATTGTGCTGTCTGTAATTGGTCTGTGACTCAAGGTAATGCACGTGCCCGTTTGATAAAATATGCAGTACTTACATGTATTTGCATGTGCGTAGCAACACAGGTACTGGTGCAGTGTACATGTGGACACTGGAACATGTACGCGTACATACATGTACATGTACACCACATGTACATGCGCTGTAAAAAGATCAGTCTTGTGGAATCTCGTTAGATGTACATGTGACTGTCGCACTTTCGCTTTTTGTAATGTGTTTGTAGTGAGTTGGAGCCGGTTTAAGTGGCATGGTGAATAAATGACCAGTTGAAATTTGTACTTGCGATTCTCACACCATTATTGCATGCCTGCTGTGTATCTTTTTGCATTTCCTGTGCTGCAGCTATAATGCACATTTGTTTACTGTACATGAATTCTGCCCCACCCACCTATTTGGAGCCTGCACACGTGTACATGTGTGTTGGTCACATTGCCTCTTTACACACGTTTGAAAATGCATCCATACAATGTCAGCCTCGCATCAAATCAGATCGATTCAATTTGATAATTGAATGAAAACTTGCCGTCCTCATAGCGGCACTGGAGAGAGTGTGACTTGCTTTTAGTTGGGCATGGGAAATTGGCAGAAAAGAAGCAAGTTAATTTAGTCTGTCAACATGCGAGCGCTGGTACAGCAGCAAGGCTAGATTTGGAAATGGGTCGCGTGTCCTCCCCAATGCCTTATTGATCCCAGAGTGATTTCTTAATTTGTTTGATCGGGGGAACAAAAGGGCCAGAAAGGATTCTGGGTAAATTTACAAACGTGCACAACTTTCAATTAAGATAATGGATTTAATTTTGCAGAACTGTCAAATGAATTTTTGGTGGGGGATGTCAAAACTGACAAATTGTGAAGAAACATGGGGAGGGGAGGGATGCTGATACCTGTCAAAAGACATCTTTGCCTCGTAGTCGTCCCACTCTCTTCTCCTCTCAAGTTGATCGCTGGTATGTTCACCCCTGTGCTTCCCAAATTTGGCCGTCCAACTTTCCTCCAAACTGACATACTTGCCTTGCCTTGACCTCGCTGTCCCTAGACCCAGGCTTAATTAGATTTACGAGCCTACAGTCTTGTTATCATGCTGACGCTGTCCTCTGACAAAAGAAGAAAGGCCAGGACTGTGGAGGATGCTACATGTATGTACATGTCTCTCCAGCCATGTGACATTTCCAACAAGTCCGCACGGCACTGCGTTCTAATTCGAACAATTCCTTGTGAATAGGTTAGGGAGGCGTATCTAGGGACTTGTAAGGGTTGTTGGCTGTTAACAATCGTGACAAAAAACATGTAGACACCTACACTCTCAAGTCAAACAATAATTTTTTAGATTGATTCAGCCTTGTGGAATTCACTAGGTTGTGTAGGGATTGAGCATTTCCCAGACTACTCACACTGAAGAACTTGGAAAGAAAAACAAAAGATATAGAAATAAACCCCTCTGGCCGCAATTTCTGTCTGTTTTATTTAAAAAAAAAATATGTCATCAAATAATAAAGAGCGAGACTTTTTGTTTGGAGATTTATGTCACAGTTTGGCCGTTGGGAAACCTCCATCCACATCCTCGATCATGTTCTTAAATACATACATGCACAGTATGTGCCGATCCCTCCCCCCTCCAAAAAAAGACATTGAAGAGTAAGATACTGTGATAGATAATCCCTTCCAATCGTGCACGTGTGTTGCACCAGCTCGTCATGCTCATTTGTATTCATATTTATGCTCATACCAGATAACATTCGTCCCATTCGCATAATTTTCAGCCCTCCAGGGAACCATGTGTGCCGTATGGCATTTAGCTTTAATAACCTGGTACAGTGTATCCCCTATTCCCATCCAGTGGAACTGTGATCATTGCCTTTGTGAAGCTCGACATGAATGTGATAACTGGAGACTGTCGCGAGTCAGTCCTAATCGGAAAGTTTCATTAGGCCTGCCCTTTAAAAGGTTGTGACACGAAGGGAAAAAAAAAAACTTGCAGACCTAGATTTGCTGCACATGTATATGTACCCGCTGTGGCATCTCCCAAAAAGTATTTGGATTGGCTTGAAATTTTTAATTTTAAATTTTTACTATTGTTTAATTTTTACTTTTGATCTGTATCAAGCATGTAATATACATACATGTACCTGTACATGTACGTTCTGTAGACCATGTACATTTCCTTTAAATTCTTGCTCTCGTTTCATTTCCAAAGCCTGCATTCAAGAACTGTTGAATCCACCAGAATGTATTGTTGTAGGCCGGCTGGATTAATTGGCCCCTTCCTCCCACCCTACAGTGATGGTGTCAAAGTTCAAACTTTTCTGGTGCTGCAAATTTCATTGTGAACTTGAGAGTTACATGTACATGTGTGTTCATACATGGAAACAAGATTCTCTTGAAAAACTTGCAACCATGCCTCAAGGTGTTTGGACTGTTTTGATCTGCATTGTTGCAGAACAAACGCAAGAAGTGATTCCAAGCTGAGATTGGTAAAATCTTCCACCAGGCAGCACCTTCTGTTGGGATTTTGTTGGGGTTACAGGGAATGCTCGACGTAGAAATGATTAAAAAAAATGTTTTTAGTGCTTTGGAAAGACATAAATATGCAGAAAGTAAAGATGTACATTTAATATTGAGGGGGTCCTACTTGTACTACAGGTACCTTATTGCCACACAAGGCCTTTAAAGGTTTAGGAACATCAAGCGTTACTTCAAGGCAAAATGTAATTTCAATCTTCATTAGCAATGAATTAAATATAAGGTAATCAGATAAGCAACTTCCCTCTTACCAGGAAATGAGTTTTTCATTTCCAGGCTTGGGAATTGCTCTTGGTTAATTTCGAAACCAGCAGGGTAGAAGGAAGCAGTGAAGTGCAAATGCACTCAAAGGGACCTGTCTTATTATCCTGGACAGGTTACATACGTGTGCATGCAAAGGCCTTTGAAAATTACATTAGCATAATGCTCAAACTTGGGGGCCAAGCACTGTTTGCATGTTATCATTAGGGTTAATAATATCGGGCGTGCATGAGTATAACAAATTGATGGCAATGTTTACTTCAGGGATGGCTCAGCATATTGCCCTTGTGCAACCTTGAAGGAGGATTCTTCAGAGATGTCATGCTCTGTAGCATTTTATCAGTCGAATGCAGTCCATGGGCTTGGCAAAGTGCATGCCATTGACGACAAAACAATAGTGTAGTTTGAAACCATTGTTCAAGAATGTTATTCCCCGTAAAAATTGTCTGTGGATTATTATCTATTGAAGTGGATCCAGGCTGCTTATCGGCTGGAAACTATTTGCGGGCTGTTTCGAAAGTCAAGGGAAGTAGAGTAGAAAAATTTGTCTGTGTTGTTACTCTTGGAGATTTGAGCTCCCTGAAATCGTCGCATTCCTCAGTTATTTTCCCACTAACACTCAAGCCCAATTGTCAAAGTCTTGACGAGTCTTTGCAGTATCCCTGTCACACGTGACATATGATTTTGTAAGTTCAGAGCACATTTTCTAATTTCTAAGAGTGATGAATGAATGCAGATTACCTACCAAACAAACGGTAATAGTTTGAAATTAATTCCGGTGATATTTCCATGTCAAATGACAAAGGTCAGATGTAACAGGGACATGACAATGTCACACTTTTGGACCCCTAATTTCTGGAATTACCCAAATACATGCACATGTGGTTTTTCAATTGTTACGAGAATAATTTATTGCCTAATAATTCTGGTAAGTAGTTTAGAGCACTGTGTGATATAGTGACGGTATGCTTTGCTAGCACACTCCCACTTAACCCTGTGTTTTAAGCGTGTGATCAGCATTGGGGCAGAGTACTTGTGTGGCTGGAGTGTGAATATATGAATGTAAATTTATGTGCGCACACTGTATGGGCTGTTCACTGACCTAGTCTTGGAGTGTGCCATGTGTCATGTCCTACACGAAGGCTTACATGTACATGTATCTGCCAGACACTTAACAGTACAGTGTCAGATCAATATTCCATTATGTGTAAGCTGCTCTGGACAGGCTAATGCCTTACACTATGGTACTTTACAGTGTATGTCAGTTAATGCCTGTAATTATAATGGATAGTGCATGTACATGAACAATTCAGTTCACTTTCTGCTTGTATGGTACATACATTGTACGTGTATGCGTTGTAGCAGTACGAGCATGGTGAATATGTGGCTTCCATTTTTGCCTCAGGGGATCCATACAAATTTACAGTGCACATGCAGGTCACATACATGTACATGTATATGTACCTGGCAAAGGCTCAGACACGAACCACTTTGGCGCCGTACCCGGCAGTGCATGAGAAAACACAGAGAATAGGAACGATATCCAATATCTGCAAACAATGCCGACATGTTCCATCCTCCCCCCCCTCCCCCGATCATCGCTTCCTTTTTTTTTCCATACATGAGACGCCACACGTGTCCGCACTTGAGCCCAGTCCCGAGTCTGCGTGCAAACTCTAAAGCACGCAGGCCGGCAGGAAATCTGCTGGATTTTTCTCCTCATTAATAATTAATCCGAAACCTGGCCAGGTAACGCCTTGCTTTGTGCATTGACTGAATGCTGGGCATTGTGCTCGCTGTCAGGGAACATCGTGTACTCAGCAATTTATCACTGACACGAGCTGGAGTACAAATGTATGTCACCCCCTTTGTGAAGAATTGATAACAAAATCTACTGTACATGTACACTGTACGTCTACATGCATGAGATGTATTGCTCAGAATTTATGTAGGTACACGTATGCGCATTCCAAACGACAAATGGTTGAATGGTGTGTTGTTTACAAAGTTCCCCCAAAATCGGAACCTCTGTCACTGACTGGTCATTTCCAAAGTACATGTAACTACAGCGGCATTCTTTCCAGTGTATTAAACACACTCACTCATGGGTGTCCTGCATGTGGGTCAGTGTGAGCAGAGACTGTACATTCCAAACAGCATGCTCATTAGTTTCAATGCAAGGAGATGAATGTTAATTGATGTACACATGTATATGTACTGGTACACAGACCTGTAAACAATGAAAATGGATTCATTGCCAAAAACAAACAGGGACTACAGTGTGACACCTGCATCTCTCTGCATTGCAAAAGGACTGATGAAATGTACATTTGTTTGGAATGAAATGCTCATATACATGTACATGTACAGGGCTGTACATGTACATGCATGTACATGTATATGTGTGCACGTACTGTACATTGAACATATGCATGGATACATGTACAGTGTACATGTACGTGGCAGTGCATTGCTCTCCGATGGTTTTTGTAAAATGACTGCATTACCCAATTACAATTGTTCATGTATAGGAATGCATGTCCCAGCACCATGCACGATACATGTACTGCGTACAACTGCACATTATTAGCACTGACAGGTTTTTGTGTCGTATTGTACATGTAGGATGATTTCCAGTGGTTTCCCCTGCCCATGCATGTACATGTACATTAATGTGTGCGTGTATGCTTGTGTCCTGATTGCCCGACTTACCAGTGTGCGCCTTGATTGGTAAACATTGCATGTCTCTGCATGTATTTCAGTTTTGGTTGGTGGAAGTGAGGTTGGTAGGAATTATAATTTCTGGCCTAGAAGCTCGGAGAAAAATATAGAAATAACCTTATATAAAGGTACACATGGATAGTATGCACATGTACAGTGTGGGTCTAGCCCAACCCTGACGCCAGTTTATGTGTACATGTACGTGTACTGCTGACCGTGCATGCATAATGTGGGAAGTAAATTCAAATGGTTATTTTCTCATATATCTGTGTGCTGTTATTGGCTGACCACTGGCACGTCTAGTTTGAAGGCTAATGCTGACTTGTTCAAAGTGAATTGTCAGCGAATGGAATGGATGTAAACGCGTGGGTTGAAGAAATAGGAAGTGGCAGCTCCTAGCTGTTTACTCTCATTAATCATCCCGGTCAGTTTACCAAGACACTTAGGACAACCACACCAATCTTCCGGAAAGTGCCTGGAAAAAAAAAATAACAGAAAAGAGAAAGCCTGGTTTTGGCTGTCGTTATGCACGAATTGATACCAGTGCACAGCGAGTATGTGTACTGGTTAGAATGACATTTAATATTTATATCTGCAGTCATTACTGCCTGCAATTACATGTAGCAACGCGCACAGTGTATGACTTTTGGATCCTGCATGCTGTATAGAAAATGGATCGCATTCATGGACAAACTGTAAAATTGTCTGAAAACTGTACTGGTACATGTACAATGTTCATGTACATGTCAACCGAAGTGTCTTTCGTCCAAAATTTGACGTACATGTACATGTTTATACGCGGTACGCTGCAGTTGTAAATAGGCGTATGTAGTACAAGTGAGCCTTAGAAGGTTGCACTGCGTTTCAAGGTGACTCAGCTCTCACTGAAGCTACTGGTATATTCGTTAATTTTTAACCTACATTGATTCTTAACCTATGTATGTGTAGCCAGATTACCAGCTCTTGCTTTACATGGTTACCATTACCATTTTAAGTAGTACCAGTGGAAACCATGTTGTATGGGCTCTGCTTGTACGTGTATGCAGTGACCAGTACACTTGCTGATGTGAGGTATGGGAGTTGACTATCAGAAGGACAATGTACAGTGTAAAAGGACCGAGTACACTCAACAGACCTAACAAGTGTATCATTACCACCCACCTAAAAAAAAAAACATTTAAACCCCAGTTGTGTGTTTCTTTCATTTTATTTTTCCGTTGCAGCTAGCTGTACGTGCCTCGATTCCCTCCCAGCCCTGAGGGCTAGGTCCGTAGGCCTAAAGGTTACACCAATATATAATAATCTATGCCAACATTATTAGAAAGAGAAACCAACCAACCAACCGCTTTTTTATGTGTAACACGCCACCTTTTTTTGCTTTTTCCATGTCTTTTCCAAACCCCCTGCATTAATTCCTCGTTTAGCATTTTGATCAACTCACAGTAGGCATCTCACAAATGCATTTCTTTCTTTCTTTTTTTAATAGAGTTTTGATTGTTTGTGTCTCAGTGCTTGTTTTAGTGTGACTGTGACTTGTGAGGCATGTCCTGGTTTCTTTTTTCATTTCTTTTTTTTTTGTGGCAGGATTTACTAAAAAAAAATCGGAGAGATTGCCACGTGTTTCATTACTAACATTATTCAAGGTGTCTCATACACATCCACATACATGTACATATTCTGCCTGTACTGTATTTGCACGTGTGCTTTGGTCATTTCAAATTGAAGCTGGTTTATACAGTGTAATTGGACTCTCGAATTCTTTGAAAGCTTTCTTGCGTTTGGAACACAGTTACATTTTCTTTGCATTGGATTTGAATAATCTGGGATCAGGTGTCATATTTTGTTGGTTTGATTTTAAAGATCTTGTTTCAGAAGGAAGACTGGGATTGGTGAGAGCCCTATTATTTCTTAAATTTAGAAATTTTCAGCAGGAAATAAAAGCCCTTCTGGTAATATAAAAAAAAAAATCAAAGTTTCTTCCAGTTCCCTTGCCTGAGATTTTCAAAAGCACTCCCTTCAACATTTGATTAAAAAAAACAAAACAAATCCTGATTCCATTGGCATTACCAATTTGAAGTTAAAAATAACTGTACGATACGCACCACTCCAAATCTTTGCTGGGGTCTGCATTGATGTCACAATTTCGAGTCACAGAAAATGTCTTGTTCTGTTGGCGTTGTGTGCATTATAGAAAACAGCCTGATGTGGTAGGAATGTTTAAGTGGACGGGACATTAAAAAACTGCACAGCTGCCAGTAGAGCTAGATGGAGTATGTGTGGCTAGGTGCTTAATCAGACTAAAAACCCAGCAGATTGCACGGATCAATCCGTGGCGTGAGGTCTTTCACCAGATTGCACAGTTTCCATCATGTGTGCGAGTGGCTGAAATCCGAAACCAGGGCAGCCAGTAGTGGAACATTAATTTGGAGCCCTCTGTATGTTTTTCCGATAGATTTATGGTTTTGTTTGTGTTGGGGGGCATCGATATTGACCGTGGTCGGGTCTGGCTTTTGTCCTGTTTTTCCCCGCATGCAATTTTTTTCTCTCTTTCTGCTTTAAAACACCATTTTTTGCTGTATGGCATCTTGGCTGGCATGCTTTTGCACACTGCTTATTTTGTTAGGCAGTTACTTAATTGTTTTTCCCCTGAGATACAGCTAGATGAGTACCCATGGGGTATATTGCTGGTTTTTATCTGTGAACTACTTGCCTTGTCTGTTTTTGTGGCACTGCACAGACATCAGGTGTTTATTAATTAATTGATTAAAACTAAAGCTAATCAACTTTTTACTAATTACTCGCACTAGTACGCATATATAAAGCACATCAGATAATTTAGGCTTAAAGTGTGATCGCAAAAAACTAGCAAAAGAAGTCAGATGACAGAAATATTTGCTAACCGTTCAGGCTTTGTTCCAAACCCTGCTGTACATATACATCACAGAAGCTCCTTTGGGCTATCCCAGGTACTCAGAACCTCAGTGGCGGCTACGGTGTACTGCAAAGTCTTGCATTCTGATGCTTGAAAGACCACACGCAAAAGTTAATCACTGAGTCACGAAGGGATACCCATGCTCAACGTGTATGTTCATCTCTGCATACCTACCGGTACTGTGAACAATTTCCCTGCTTCCTCTAACCGCTTGTCTAACGGCTTACTTTCAGGAAAAAAAAAGAAAGTTGGACTCTTTGGTGAAAGCGTTCCTGTAAACCTCAGTTGCGCCTATGTTCCGGTGTACACATAGCATTCATTGTAATGGAGCTTGTCATTTAGCAGTAAAGATACAGTTGACTAACACATTGTCTGGTGTCGGAAGTGCGTTCATAATTGCACGTTTGGTCTTTGTGCTTGTTTCCACCCTTACAGCAACAAAAAAACCTGTTTCATTACTTTGGATGTGATGAGGGTTAACAGAACACGAACAGCTATGGAACATTGAATAGTACCATTTCATTTTTTTTTTCATTTCTTCTTTTTCCGTTTTTGGCTTGTCACCAGTGGATGGAAACTTCACCCGTAATTCAGGGTCACATGCAGTGCATGTTTGTACATGTAATCCACATTTGTTGTGTGTGTCTTGCGTACCAGAAAAAAGCTGGTCTGTAATCCTTGCCACATGTTGTGAAACTTAACAAGCAGTGGATGCCCAGTCCACTAAATTTTGGCAAAAAACCTTGTCCGTCTTTGACTGAAATCATCTCCCGCATCCCCTCCACTTTTCCCATGCCACACGGGACTTCTCTTCGCTACGCTTCTCCATTTTTTTTTTTTCAATCGCCTAGTCACTAACTTGCCAGCGCCATGTGCCGTTTCCCAATCTCCGCTTCCCATCTCACTGAGCTGGTAAGAAGAGAGGGGAAGAAAATTCATCAATCTCCCCCGCATCTTCCGTCATCGCGTCCTTGGGCTATCCTTAATTAACCTGGCCACAGCTGACAGGATGGAACCTCAACAATGATTTAATCTTGCAGATCTCCTAAAAGTGTTTACTTTTTTTGGGGGGGGGAGGTTTGCTTTCCCACATCTGGTGCCCTCAGTGATTGAAATTCTCAGGAGTCACAAATTCATTTGACTTGTTTGTTTTAAGCATACTTCCTGTCCATGAACTGTCATCGGTCATTTGGTAATGACCTTCCAGTTAATACCAGTAACTTTATTTCAAGGCTGGCTGTGTTTGTCAAGCCTACACATTGATGTTGCAGTCACCTTGTTAAGCTCTATGGGTCACTGCATCCTTTTTTTATGCATCCCATTTTTATTTCAGTGTTTGGAAAAGTGGCATTCCTGTATTGTGTTCATTTTGAGACCTCAGTTTCAAGTTAATAGGTCTTGGTTGTCAAAAGTGGCCCTTTTAATCCTCGTGTAAAAAGAGGGCAAAAGAAAATTCCCTTTTGCTTGAGATTTTATAATTTTTTTTTCTGATGCATGCAAAGCTGTGACCACTGTGGTTCTTATTTCACTGTGTTGTTCCACCTGCGAGGTTTCGTCTTATTGTTATCGATAAATGTTTCACTACACGGCTACTTTATCTTGGATCCCTGAAGTATGATTAACGGGTGTTGGGTCTGTTGGTCTATCGCTGTTGAGCATCAGCACCAACAGCTACCGTCCGGTCATTCTGATCACTGACAACTCCTTGGTAGGCTCTTCCTTAGAGCTAGGACCCCAGCTCTACGGTTCCTCCTCCCAGGGAACATGAGCAACCCCCTACACTCATACTCATAGATCATGCCATAAAATCTGCGCTCATCCCTATTCTTGTACGTGCTACTCACTGCACAAAATCTCCTGTTTCCAATTTGGCCCTATTTGTTGATTTTGAATAACCTGCTCTAGGGTTTACTTACTTGACGGTGTGCGGATTGATTAAAATGGAGCTCCCTCTAGGGTACGGCAATTCATTTGAGCACTTCAGAATGTTGAGCCATTTCATTCACGTAGGTCCCCATTTTCTAAACTCTGTACTCTCCAAGTGACTGTAAAAGAATGTGGATATGGGTTGATGTGACTTTCACCAATATAGCATCCGGTAGGCCGGCAGACTGGAAAATCATTTAACTAGTACTATAAAAAAATGTCTGTGGTTGATAACCCCCCCAACATGCAGCCACAGAATAAGTCTCATCTCACACCGTTGCACTCATCCGACCATATCAAGGGAGAACTTGAGGAGCACCAATTGCACATGTGCACCGTGCATACGTAACAACTGACGTTTCTTGCTGTGCCGTGGGGAAAAAAGTGCTATATTAACTGCTAAAAAGCTGCTGCTCTCAATTCTTCATTTGTTTTTCCTCAATCAGTTTGGATCTCTGCTCAGAGTTCATGTAGTTGTCTTGTAGCCAATTCATTTTAACCCCACAGCCATTGGGATATCCGGTTTTGAGTTGCTAACACCCAAACTGAAGGTGTACGATCTTCTACAGCTGTTGATTTGATGCGGTGGTACACATTACAGGAAATATGTTTGCAGTTGTAACATTTCATGTCCTGTGTTTGTCATACTGTATAACCCATCGTAGAGGCAAAGTTAAAGAATACATGATTCTACAGATTTGATTTTGACTTTGGCTGGAGTATGATTTGAAAAATGAATTTGTGATATGGGGGAGAAGGAAAGGCTCGCCCCAAGATCACCTGTGGTATGGAAACCGGTTCCTTGCTTCAAGCTACCACAGTCTGTCATCCAACAAGGCTCTTGATTACCAGTGAATCACCCACATTAAAAAAATAGTAACAAACAAAAGACCAGATGAAACTGTACATTTTTACATGTAGTTGGTGTTAATAGTAAGTTGAAATCCACCGTGAGTTTGGCATCTAGTCACCATTGGTTTTGCACCCGAACTTGCCCTCTCATTTGACATTTTTTTCCACCCCCCCAAACACATCTCGCAAGCTCTGTGCATGGATGCATTGTCTTGGTACCACCGCTTAGATCCATTTACAACAGACCCACTGTAATCTAATGGCGAGATATCCTCGTTTCTCTTACAGGTTTAGCACTGCCTCCAGAACATGGCCAGAGATAAGAGTTATTTTGATCCTTGCGTTTCACGTATGCCACTTTTTTTGTTCTGTCTTTTTTAACAGTTAGAATAACGTGGTCATTGAATGGATATATGTAGAAAAACATTTGCCTGAACGAGCTTCGTTTTAACTCCTGTGCTGTTGCAATCCTTCCTGTTTGCCGTCATCCCGTGCCTGTCTTGCATGATGCATGCTTTCCTCACTCAGCCACTCTCTCATCAGTCACTACCCACGTCCTGTCGTCCACGTCTGTATGCTCTGTTGCAGTGTTCTTTCCGCGCTCACTGCTCATAGCCTCATAATTTGCCACAATCACCCGGCAAGTTTTTTTGAATTTGGGAGCTGAAAACTAGGGAAACTTCCAAAATCTCTTGAGGGAAAAACTGAGTACTCGTTCTGTTATTGGTGCTTAGCCTTAAAGGTGCCTTAAAATGTGTAGTTGATTACAAGGTTTTTCACTTCAAAGTCTGACATGTGAAAAAGACTAAGGAAGAGTACTCACAAGAAGGCACAGAACAGAGTTCAGAATCACAGTCCCTTAGAACGTGATACTGCTTCTTAATGCAGGCAGAGGGTCAGATTTTCCAGACACACGTCTACCATTTTCTGCTGCTTTTTATAATTTTATGAACACCTCTTGTCATCCACACGAAATGAGAAGTACGCAGTGGTACAAGAACGTATTGTTTTTGTTTTCGTGCACACCCATCTCTTGACTCATAAAGAATATTCCTGTACGGCCTTAGCTTGAACTTGTAAGGGGGGGGTTGATTACTGCTTTGTCTGTTGGCTAATCCCTGCAGTCCAATTCATCCATTTGTCCAACTGTTTGCTAGTTTGTTCACTGGGACACTCGGCTTTAGATTCATCCGATTTGTTTTTCTACACATTTGTCCTAACAAGCTTGTGACCTCCCCCACAAACTGATGTCTGGCAGAGTTCCATCCAAAGAGTCCCCTTGTATTTCAGAATGGTTCAGAAAAAAAACTGTAAATTTGGAAAAGTTTCCACCTGAGAACTGTTCGACTGGTTTTTGGAACCTACTGTACATGTATGTGTAATAACCTCAGGCAGTCATTCATCTTGTTGCAGATTTTATTTCCATCCGTCTGCCCATTTTTATTTCTTTTTTTCATTTTCTTCAGTCAGTTCTCTTGGCCGACCACCCTGACACCATTGCTGCCAGTCTCTTAACTCAAAATAACTACTGCACTCACAAATTTCCAAATGCTGTAAACAGGAAAGGTAGTGCACGGCTTTTAAGTGCCATATTTTTAAGGGGCTTCATGATCTTTGGGAAAAAAAAATTGTACAGCATTTTGCAAGTTGCCTGAAATGAAATCAAGGTCTGGAGCAGCAAACCTTGAAGTTTCTCAGATTTCTGTGCGGGGATTCAATTCTCGCTATCCACTCCTGTGCCATTGATACGATAAAGTCTTTCTTTCTTCCTATGATTTGAGCATCCTTGGTAATTGCATTGAATTTTTGCTGGAACATGTTCGTATTACCATAATTGCTACGCCTTGTAAAGGTGCCTGAAATTTGCTCAAGGGTGAACACATTGAAGGAAATGGGGACTGGGCATTGGGCCTATAACAGCACAGATCCCTATTCAGATGTTGCTGCTTTACATGATTAGGGAAAAAATAAACGGGGAGCCAGTCACAGACTGCATGCATCTGGGAGCATGTTGGCTGTTATCTGTTTTCCTGCTTAGCTTTAACTTGGAGCCGCCTTTTTTTTTGGTAACCCTGGTACTTCATAAATGATCACATACATCTATTTATCCATGGCAAAACTGTCATGGCCTTTTACAAATCAACTTTGTAAAACAAAATGTGGCTGTCACTGGGAATTGTAAAATTGCCAGTGTTTTGAATTTGACTGGCATGCACCTGGTACCACTGCTTCTCTCAATACATACGTGAGCATGTGTATGTACGTGACTAAGGGTGTCCTGACTATTCCTCAGTCTGTGAGCTACGATCCAAGTCAGAATTTAAAATACTGTGTCATCTCTTAACACAAACCACCCTGACCCCGTACAAGTCCATCATCTCAGCATGAATCGTTGCCTCTGTTTCTGTGTTCACTCCATATGTATGTGTAGTTTCATTGATTATCCAGTCATGGTGTTGTTTGCCCTTCCATTTCCCAACTGCCGCTTCTGCCACCGTCTTGTCTGATCACACGCGCCCATTAGTAACGATCTCTTCTTTTATAACCAAACAGTTTGCACTGCCAGCTGTCATCTTTTTGTTTGTCGGTGCTCTTCTTTCCTGCGAAGCCAAAGCATGCATGCCCAACTAACAGCTACATGTATACCCAACTCACCATTACGACTAAAGGCACTTTTTTGGGAGGTCTTCGAATCCTTGACGACTTTTTTTTTTGTTTGTTTCTGCATTTTCTTGTATTGCCCACAGTAACTTCATGCCAGCTTGGTAGATCCACTTTCCTCCAGGTACTTTTTTTTTTTTTAAAGGGATTCTGTCTCACCATTCTAGAGAATCTTTATTTTTCTATTCATTTGTTAATTTATTTATCGAGAATGAGAATGTCACATTCAGATTTCACCACATGGGTTTGTTTTTTTTTTTTGTTCAGTGGGAATTATATTGCTGGTAGTCACATCTGCTTTGTTTGAGTTGGGTTTTGATTCCGTCGCAAGTTTGTGCATGATTTTCTTGCGATTGTTGGAAGTTTACGTTCTTCGTTCCTTTTCCAAGTCACATTTATGCAGTTCTGTATTATATAAGTAGGTTTGGGAATCAGAATATTGGTTGTTATATACAAACCTGGATAAATGGAATGACATTTGGAAATCTCTCATTCACATACAAAATTACTTTAGTGATTATTGCGTTGGCAATTTGCACAACACAGACTGCCAATTGTAAGAGTGTCAGATGACAATCAGGACAATGTTTTGAAATTGTGGCACAATTTGAAGTAGGATTTGAAATCAACGTAATGTAGGTATTTCCAATGCTGATTTATGTCACTGCCAGTTCTGAGCAAGCTGTAGGTTATTTCATAGTAAAATGCAGTCGTGGTATTGCATATTTAGGTCTGTGGTGCAAGTCATTGGTTGATTGACAGTATGTGTGAATGTGTGTGATGAACCTGAGTGTTTGCCAGCATGGTAATCCTGTCTGTAGACAGTACATACGTATGGCTGTGCTGTGACAACCTCATGCGCACACTCTGCATGGAGTATGAAGTTTGTCTGGTTTTGTCCGTCAACTCGATTGTCTGTCTGTCTCTGTCTTGTTTGGTTTTGGTTTTTTTTCCCCTTCTTCCAATTAACTGTTGGCTGACAACACTTTTGACTTTCAGACGACGTGATCAGCACAAAATGTTCGTTCAAGATGAGGTAACATACCGACCAGTCCTTTGCCATTGCACTTTGTAAACATGTAACATTTTATTACTATCTCAGTACACTCTGCCCGAGTTGAAAAAGTGGTTGTTTCTGTTTTTTTGTAATGGAGAAATCAATTTTTGTTTTTTTTTAACTTCTTTGGTCCTTTTCTTCGTGTTTGACAATGTGAAATGTCACCAAAAAAGAGGGAGACGTTTTCGATACATCTGAACAAAACCTGTCTGGGTTTGTCTTTTTCCCCCCCACTAGCTTGAACAAGGCATGAGCGCGTAGCAATCACAAGTCTTAATTATATACATAGATGCTATTTCATACTTGTGTGATTTCTGTTGCTAGCGGCATTTGTTCAGGTGACAGGGGACACGTTTGGGGTTCAGTTTGGGAATACTGTTTTGGTTCAGTTCTTTCGTTCCGATTCAGTAAGTTTTTTTTTAGAATCTCAATAGCTGTTTTGTGAGTCAATCTTGCACTCTCTTTTGCTGCTTGGTAATGCTTGTTGCTATGTAGATTAACTGATTCCTAACAGTTTTTGAAACAGTTGCATTGAGAGAAAACGAATGTTATGCTGATTTGAGGTCAACTAATTTGATGTAATAATTGGTTTACATGTTCATACCGTATACACTTCACTGCAGATTGGTCGCTGTCACTTGGATGTAGCGCCCCCTAGTGGCAGTGCATGGTCAGGGGGTGTGTACTCATGTACAAGATCAATCTGCAGTGTTCCAGTACATCGAGTCTGAATCATTTGTGTTTTTAGAAGTGAGAAGGACTGTGGCAAAATTTTCCTGCTAGGAGACATTCCTCAAAGCCCAGAGCAGCTGCCCTGTTTTTTTCCCCCGACATAACAAAACCAATATGTTGTAAAGACGGTCTCCCGTGTGGGATCAGAAACCCTCGTGCACGTGTGTGCTGTTGAAAACTTGATCAAATTCTGAGGGGAAGGGAAGATCCTTTTGGCTTATCTGCTGGCTTATTCGAATGATTGGTCGGAAATTAGATATTGGAAGTGTCATTTGTGTTCAAAATTTTTTTTTTTTTTCCTGAACATTATTTTACACTCTCCAGTTATCCTGTTTTGAAGCCCAGCCTGGTATCTAGTAGAGTGTGCATTGGTATGTATTCCCGCACACTTTTGATATATCCATCCCAGTCTGAGTGGAAAAAAAAGGTGCAGCTGTTATTTTCTCCTTATGCTAATGAGCCTCTTTAGCCTGTGGCTACTTCACCCTGAATGGGTCTCCGAAATTGCCAATCAATCAAAACACAATGGATGAGCAGGTGTAAAAGGGTAAACTCAAAAAAAAACACGAGACAGCACAGCTGTCGGGCTGCTTCGCACATGCCGGGTGCTGATTCCATAACGTTTTTGAAGAGGATTTATGAATCCCGGTTGAATTGGGAATGACTGAAATACCGGTAAAACAAGGAAGCATCATGCATAACAACATGGTGACTTCTGTAAGACAGCATTGTTGCAGTGTTTTGAATGTCCCTCTGTGCGACTTGCAAACGCGCCCAACCCTTTTGAATTTGGTCGGTCGAAAAATGGGTTGCCGCATTTCATTTCCGTTGCATTTCCAGTCCTGCAGAATTAATGAGATACCATCATTTAAGGAAAAATTGTTTGCCTACTGTACAGCCGTCAAAATGTGCCGTTACTTGTATTAAGAGATAGAACAGAATGGATTATTAAAAATGGAGCAGTGCGGTGCACTGTACACGTGGACTTTGTAAAATGTGATGCAGGGAACTTTTGCCACTGTTCTTGTAACGAGTTAGGCAGCGGAACCCCACCCTATCATGCATGAGACATTGACATCCAGTTCTCTGATAAGGTTGTACTGCTGAGGTATTTTTTTTCTCCCTCATTGCGTGTCAAACCTGAAATTCTACATTTTGTTGATTGTATTCTCCAGGCTTGTTTTTTTTTTCAAATTCCTCCAATAATTCTCGGCAGACATTCACTAACCCATATCCCCTTCAGCTTCTGAAATCACCTCTTTATAATAGAAAACCCCAAACATTTACATGTGTAGTGTCTTTGTTCTCCCAAGGTGTGGATGCTTCTTTGTGTTCATTTGTCGTGCTTTGACGTTTTTATGATTGATCTTGAAATACGACAGTCGTTTTTATGATAGTGTACACATAGATCTTTCAAGGGAATGAGGACCATTGGTATCGCGTAGTTGACGGAAATGCCTCTAGACCTTTTAACAGTTCACGCTCACACCCATGGCACCCTAACACGCAGCGGTCAGATTCATTCTACTACGCAGCGGTGCAACTTTGGTCTTTAGAGGCGAAATGGAATGTGCATGGTCATCAGAAGGCCAGTGCGTCTGCCTCGCTTATCTCTACTCCGAGATTGGATTGAAAAAAAAACAAGAACCAAAAAAACTGGACGACAGAAAGGTTTCCTTGGGAGTTATCTGAAGTGTAACCTCGCGCCTCATAAACACAAAACCCAAGTTATACCGCTGCCGTTAATTGATCAGCAGATGACGCTTGAAGTCCGTGTTGGTTGAATGTGTGATGTCTTTCAGTCTGTCAACTTTGCCACTCTCTGTTCCTTCTTTCCTTTTTGTCACATCTATCATTTGTGTCATGTAGTTCGGTCATGAACTCACCAGGAGGAGCAGACCACAATGCCAGACCCTGCCTAAAATCAGAACTGGTTTTTTTTTTACCATCAGTGGCATTGTTTTGCATCCATATTTCCCTCCTCCCTCCCAACATGGAGTTTTCTATTAAAAAAAAACGTGCTACTGTGTACTGACACATGCTTCTTTGTTCAAACTGCACGGCAGAGTTGATGGTGCTTGTTTGAAAATGACACTGGTATTCACTAGCTTGTTTGCAGTTGCAATACTCTCAGAGGACAACAGCAATGTATTGTATAGTTATGTGCTGGGTCATGGGCTTTCTACTCACTGACCCCCGGCTGGGCATATTCGCTATGGTGTCAAATATTGAGACCAATTTGGAGTCAGTGACATTGTTTGCAGTGCAGTCCACATCCGTGGGTGGGCCTTCACCGGGCTATTAAAGACAGTTTCTTTTGTCGGCACATTAGGACCGAGTTGTGGGAACATTCCTCTGTCCCTGTAAGGTTTTTGGTCCCCACAAAACAGGTGAAATGTCGTGCGTTTGTCCCCACAACTGTGGAATGAGTAGGTGTGAACGTGTGGACTGCACTTCTCTGCACATTTTTCTGTGCATTCATTACCTAAAACAACCTTTTGCATGTTAGAGTATGCCCAGCTCTTTTAGTTTTTTGAAGGCATGTTTATGTAAAGTTTGCTTCTGTGGTAAGTAGACCTTAACGGGGGAGGATAAAGAAGTTGTACAGGTGGTTACTTCTCCCGTCCTTGTACGTGTACATGTATTTTTCTTTGCCTCTGAAATATCTTTGTCATCGAACACCTGTCAGTTCTTGAAATGAAAATCATGGTAGCATTCACGTTTATAGTGGTTCATGTGCAAAGGTTTGGGAAGTTGCACAAAATGTATTTTAACCTTTCAAAATAGGAATTTTTTGGGTAGCTGCCGCCAAAGGCAGTAAATCATCCTAAATAGTCAGGTGCTTTTTTTTCCCCAGTACAAACATGCACTGACTTGGAGTTGGCATTGGACTGTTTACACCACTTGCACTTTACCTGTAGTGCGCTTTCTGGCCAAGAAATCCTGTGGATGCACGTTATAAATATGCACATTACACTAACATATTTGTGGAGAGAAGCAAACAAGATTAAGAACTATTGTTAAATAACTACACATTTTGTGAACTGCTGTCAACATGGCTTTTCATCTAGAATTGGTTGGGGAAAAAAAAAAAGAATTAAAGTTTGCCAGATTTAAGTTATCCTGCGGTGAGGGGTTTCGATGTTCAGAAATGAGGTAAAATAGCATTGAACATGTATGAGAGAAGAATTGAAAACGACAAAAACTTTCAAAAGAGAAAGAGATGGAGAAGATATTGCTTCTGTCATCAACTGAATCAATGCGATGATCTGTCAAAGCATTTCTGAAGTTGCTCTGAAACCAAGAATGTATAATAACAAACAGACGAAACATAAACTCAGGTCGAGTAGGTTATCACGACCGACCGCTCAGTGCTGATAGGCACCAGGTCAAAGCCGTCAAAATGTCATTAATTGTGTGCGTGTGTCTTGGACGTCCTGGCTTAAACCTGCATGGTTTATTGCGATCAGGGAGCCAAAAAAACAATACAAGCATCCCTTCCCCAGCCTACCCCCCCCGCCAGTCTGTCCCTATATTGATCTCTCTGAATTTTTTCCCTTGTACTCCACAGCGACACATTCACTCCGAGACCTAGACTCACGGTAAACAGTGCACAGATATCATCATTTTAACCATTTGTTCTGGCCTTGTTTCTTTTTCTGCACTCTTGTAACTTTTTAAAAATGAAGTGTAAACAACCCCCCCCCAACACAAAGCAAATACATTTTTCACAGTTGAAGACTAGCTTGAAGGTTTTATGAGGGAGCCTGCTTGAATAATTGCATTTATATTTCTATTCATGTTCAATCAGTGTGCTTAAATTTCAACTGTTTCTGTGTTTTTTTTGTCCAATGTGGTGTTCCCGTGTAATAACTTGGTACCTGTTTTAAGGCATTACAAAAAGGTTCCTTTTCAAAGGAGGTTAAAATGTGATGCAGTGGTACTTATTTCAAATTAAAAAAAACAATGGTTCCCAATTTTACAAGAGACACTGGATGAAATCTGTTTGCCATTTGATGCGTTACTGCAGTAGGAAAGAGTGTTTGGGGGAAAAACAGCCGAGGATGCATTAATCAGTGGCCAATTTTGGCTGGGTGCACAATGTTCGGATGCGCTCGGACGCATTGAAAATATCCACATGTTTGTCTGGTATGAAGTTTCCAGTGTTGAATGGAAAGAAGCACAAGAGATCAGTTGTGTGTTGACGCAGGAATGATTTGTTTCCATCATAAGGATACGCGTTGATTCAGACAGACATGGTTTTGGTGTTGTGTGCATGCTTTGAACCTTCTTGTTGTTTTTAAAAAGCTTGGCAGTTCACATACAGTAGTCACCACTGTGGTAGCGAAATGCACTCAAAAAGGCATTCCTTGTAGCTGTAAATTCCTCCAAGTGCCCAAACGCTTTACAAAAAGGTGGGGATTTGTTCTAGTCACGTTGGGCTTCTTTCAACACCAAGCCATGTGCAAAAAGATCTAGTCCATGGCATAGCATAGTGTTAGCTGCCTCATAAAATCAGTTTCTCCGTGGTTAGAGATGAAACTTACATGGGAGTTGGATTCACATTTGGAAGCCAAATATGACTGGAACATATTCATAACCTACGTGTAACCGTAGCCAGCGCACAATGGTGAATCGTATTCTAAACAAACATATATAGAGTATATTCCATTTAGGAATACAGACTAAGATTTGGTTGAGTCTGCTGGTACAGCCAAATGTCATTCAGATGCCATCATGTTGGCAATGCTTGTCCGCTCTTGTTTCACATCTGGAGTGCGGGAGGATTTACAGAAGCACTCTGCAACTCTGGCAAAGAGGTTAGAATGGAATTTACCGTGTATCACAGCGCAACATGATCCCGTGTTGTACTGTGTTCCTCATTGTCAACTCCAGTCAAGATGTGAAAAAAAATATCTCTAGGAAATCACAGTTCATGGAATATGATTCAACCATTCCGTCAAGTGGCAAATCATTTCAATTCCTGTTTTTTTAGATCCAGTGTCTTGAGGTTTGATCTTTGTGACTGGCATTGGTTGTTGGATAAAGCAGATAACATCAGTCAAGGTTGTAGCACCTCTTGTGGCAAACAGTTTTGTCACCTACCCCACAAGCAGCACTTCAAACAAACAGAGGATTGCAAAATGTTTTTTTTTTAAAAAATAATTGTATCATCCTGTCATTCAGTACAGCATTATTGTCTTCTGAATGGTGTCATTTATGACATGGCATGGAACAAACTGCGCCCGTTTTCTATCTCCTACACGTCGCAAAGATCTAACGGACCAGAACACTGTGACTTCGAAGTGAACTCGCTCACAAAACTTGAGATCACACAAATGATGAAGAAAGTTGCATACAGTTGTGCTGTACTGATGAGACAGCATGTAGGTACTGTCTTATGGAGACATTTATGTTGCTCTACTAAAACCAATTTAAAAATTCCTCAGCTTCTCTTTGTACCAAGGGTTTCAGATAAGTAGTAACATCTCATCAGTTTTTCCCTTTCCTCTAAAAATATATGCAGTCATTTGACAATACTGTTTAATACCTTTTTTTTCCCTGCCATTCCTAACAGTAGCGTGGTTGCAGATCCAGAGTAGTTTTGGGGGGTCGGGAGACCTACCGGCTTGTTTGGCATGGCTGACTCATTTTTTTTTTCTTTCTTTTCTCGGGTGGGTTGAGGTTCTGGCTTGATTTTTATCTCTGTCTCTGGTTTGCTGGTTGCTTTTGGTCCTCAGGTTGCACCGAGCCGTTGCCCATCATCATCAAGTCAGATGGCTTGGGAATGGGGCGCATGGAGATGGAGGTGAGATATTCGCGTCGTTCCTTTGTTTCATTGTGTTGGTTTAGCTTCTGGGATTGAGCCTTGGAATGTCTGTTCAGTTGGGAGAAGATTTAAAAGGAAAAAAATCACCCGAGAGTTACTGTGGTTGAAGAACATCTATGCCTGAAAGAGATTGTATGGGTACTCCTTACATCATGTACCAGCTGCAATCATGGCAATGGGGACCAAGGACTCCGATCTCTCAATGCAGAGAGCTACATCTAAACCGGATTTCCCCTGAAAATTGGTGAAGTTTCACCAGGACTAAAGGACACGGATCAAAGCTTTTCACATACTGATACACAGAGCGAACATAGGGCACAGGGTAATATGTCGTCACAGAAATCAGACGAATCAAACATACCTAGTGAAGCTGATACGGAATCTAATTCTATACATTAATAATGCTTCCATTATTGTTCGAAACTGTCCCCTCATTTCTGAGATATCTCAAGCCTTGTTATGATTCCGCATTTACAGCTGGAGCAGGCAGAGGAGGTCACTGTGCACAGACGCAAGATGGAGGTGGAGAAAGAGGACACTGAAGAACTCCGTCAAAAATACAAGGTGGGATTGCTATAGAGTGTGTAGTCTTATCCAGCAATCAGAGTTTAGAGTCAGGAGGCCATAACTGTGATGGTACCCTACTCGCATGCAGGAGGCACACCTGCTTGAAGTGCATATTTGTTTGATAGGGTGTTGTGATTTGCCTAAATGTTTGCCAGTCGCAAGTCACAGTGAGGTGATGTTGCGTCGGGTTGAAAGAAATATTAACTTCTGTGTTGTCCTGTGCAGTTGGAATGTAGGTGCAAGCCCTCCTCCCAGAGAATGCTCATGGGAACCCCCCCTCCCAGTTTTGTTTCTTCGTTGATGCAGCCTTTTCACGTCGGGGTACCATAGTGGGTAGCCACGCACACCAATGTGTGAAAGAGCAAGAACCGGCGTGTGAACCAACACGTGTGCATAGTCAATTCATATGCACTACACTTTCATGTTCAAAGTGACATCCCACTTCAGCACTCTATAAATAACTGTCTTAGTTTCAGATGTCATTGATGTGTTGTTATTAAACAAGGGTTTCAACTTTGGGCTCAAAGGAAGCTGTCAGGGCATGTACAAACCAAGGAGATGGTTGTCTTTTCAGGAGAACGCAGAAAAGGAGAAAGCTAAGGATGACGCTTTGTCGGAGATGAAAGCCAGTTACTATTGTGAGCTGTGCAACAAGCAGTACAAGAAGCACACCGAATATGAGAACCATATCAACTCGTATGATCACCATCACAAACAGGTAGGGAATCGTATCAACTCATATGATCACCATCACAAACAGGTAGGGAATCATATCAACTCATATAATCACCATCACAAACAGGTAGGGAATTGTTCAACTCATATGATCACCATCACAAACAGGTAGGGAATCGTATCAACTCATATGATCACCATCACAAACAGGTAGGGAATCATATCAACTCATATAATCACCATCACAAACAGGTAGGGAATTGTTCAACTCATATGATCACCATCACAAACAGGTAGGGAATCACATCAACTCGTATGATCACCATCACAAACAGTTGGGAATCGTATCAACTCATGATCACCATCACAAACAGGTACTGACTTGTATCAGCATGCAAAACTAGTCAACTGCCATCACAAACAGATCGGGAATGACATCAACTCACAAGACCACCACCATCACAAAACAGGGAGTAAGACAAACTCATGCATCCCCCATCATTCAGGTAGGGTTGCCATGCCAATTCATCAGAGATGGCAGAAGAATTATATCCATGAACCCTAAAGCCTTGAGTGAAATCACATTAAAATCAAAGGAAATGGCCTGTTAGCATTAATACAGTCACCTTCATACACATAAGTGGTCATTAGAATTTCCACTAACTCGGAATAGGAGTCTTGTCACATTTGTACAAAAGTACTACAAGTGCACGTACGCCCACTGATACACATAACATGTAATTACCCTCACCCATAAGTTTAAAGAATGCACTCTCTTTTTTTAAGGGAACCTTCTCAAATAGCTCGACTTACCTCACCCAATCTACGATGCTTATCAGAGAGGATTTTGTTTTTAACTTTTGTAAAATGTAGCGCTTGAAGGATTTGAAGGCCCGTGAGTTTGGCCGAACTGTTGGCTCAAAGATGAAGAAGGAAGAAAAGAAGCGGCAGAAAGAGTTGAAGAAGCTGCATGAAATGGCCCAGCAGAGAGCTCAGCCTGTAGAAAAAAGGTACTTGATGAAAGGAAACCTGTATTTTTGTACATCGTTGCAGCAATTCCTATTTATTTCCTGTGATAAACAAGAAATAAGTCAAAACAACTCATAAAACATACTCAAAGAACTATGCAAATATTCCTGTTTCTAGATTTGGTTTAGCAGCAGGGTAGAAATCATAGTCATAGGCCTTTAATTGAACACAATGGATACAAATGCGATAGAGGGTTTGCTTTGCTACCATCTTGGAGGCCAGTGCTTTTGTTCCACAGAGTGTGTACAAAGGTGGTTTCACTGTGGAACAGAACAACTGCCCTGTAAGATGATGGCTACCACACAAAGCTTCTGTTAGTGAATAAGTTGCATGTTGACCTGGGTCGTTAAGAGTGTCGTAATCTATTTATACTCTCTCAGCTTTTTCAAGTTATCAGGGTCTGTTCAATATCTTATTTTGTTGCCAGGATGTTTTGATGGTGTCTGATCTTTTAATCAACTTGTGATTTCATTTCAACAATCATTTCTAAGCAGTAACCATTTCCCCCTGTGAAATATTAAAGGGGATTCTTGGTTTTTTTTCAGTACCAGCAATGGTGGCGAAAAGACAGCAAAGAAGGGTAAAGGAGATAGCAAAGTGACATCTAGCGAATCCCGGGGAGGATGGAACAGTGTGCCCCCGCCCAACATCTATGACCCCAAACCAGGTGCGGATAGCGGGGGAGACAAACATCGCTCAGCAGCGACAAGTCATTCCTGTGGCGACAAACCACCGGGAACAGCAGACAGGAAGCAGTACGGCCCCCAAGAGGAGGTGCGGGGCAAGTCGCTAGCACGGAAGCGTCTGATGGCCTTTGCCCAGGAGAGGAGACTTTCTCCAAGTCGGCAGGAGGAGCTTGATAATACTAACAAGCAGAACAACATTTCATTCAGCTTCTCCAAGAAAACTCTGACCAGGATAGCAACAAAGTCAGTCTTTGAGGGAGATCAGGCTAATGCTGCTCAAGGTAATGACCCAGAAAATGCACCTGAGAGTTCATTGACCGACAGCAATCAAGCAAAGAGTTCGAGGAAATCGAAAAAAGTAAAGATTAACCGAACGTTTGGTGCTGAACAACCGAGCTCTTCACAAGGAAGTGGAAAGGCAGTAACCTTCATCAAAGCAGAAAGGACTTTGGATCAGCCTGAGGTAGCCAAATATGAGGCGAAGCCAGTAAAAGCAAATGCTAAGATCTCAAGGAGTAAAACTAGCGAATCTTCCTCACAAAATGGACCCAGTGTCCAGAAGAAGCCTGATGGGAAGGCAGCCAGCAAGAGACTCAAATCAAACAGCAATAAACCATGCAATGAAATAAGCAATTCCGCTGAGTCTGGGACTGATGCCAAGACTGAACCAAAGGATCATCCCAATTGTGATATGCCTCCCCAACCCCAAAGAACTCAAACTGATAACCTGCCATGCCAAATCAAAGACAGCCAACCAGCTGCTCCTTCTCAACCAAAGCAAAGGCCATGTGAAAACGCAACCAACTGTGAGACTCTTGAACATTCCAAAACAAAAGACGGGAATGGAATCACAAAAACAAATTCTGTTGGAGCAAGTCAAGTGAGTTGTGTGATAAAAAAGGAGCCAGGCACAGAGGAAACAGAAGGTGATACAAATGTTGAGAAAGTGAGTGGAGTGTGTGTTGGTGGCTGTGGCAATGATGAAGAGAATAAAAACCAGGAAGCAGATAGTTCTTCAAAACAAAACCAGGAAGGAACTGCTCCTCAAGAGGCTTCCCAATCCCAGCTTGATAGTGAACCACCCTCCAGTCCTGTCTTGGAAAAGGTTGAGGAGGGTTACCTTGCCGTTCTAGGAAAAGATGATGAGACAACTTTACCGTGGCCTATGGAGATGATGTGCTACACTCAGACAGAGCCAGTAATCTCTTATAGTGTAAACCCATTGCATTTTGAGTTTAGAAAGCTTGTCAGCAAAAACAGTGACTCTGCTGTTAAAGTGGAGGAACCCCCTGCAATGTCTGATGGAAAGTCGCAGCCCTCGACCAGCCAGGATCCAGACCCCAATATGAGTGTCAAAACTGCAGTGGTGGCCAGCAACCAAACTGAAGAACCATTGGAGGACTTCACCGCAAACCCCAAGGACTCATCCTATCGAAGGCGTGCAAAAAAACGTAAGAAAAGGAAGCGAAAGAGGAGACGCTCCAACAGGTCTCGCCACTCTCGAAGCTCTGACCGCTCAGACGATGAGAGGAAGAAACGACACCGGTCCAAGAGCTCACATGTTCGTGATCGTTCTCATTCTCCACATGAGTCTAATGATGAAGAGAATAAATCAGGTAGCTCTAGTAGGAAGCAGAAACGAAGACATAGGAAGCGCTCTGCAAGTGACTACAGCTCTGATGACGATTACGACCGACGGAGCAGACGCAGAAAACGGTCTCGTGGCTATAGTGATGATTCGTACGATGAATCTGATCATGAAAGATGCCGGAAATCTGATAGACGGGATTCCGGTCACAGGTCTCGCAGTCGCTCCAGATCTTACAGTGATGAAGACCATTCTTCGAGGAAATCTCACCGAAGGAGGAGTCATAGCAGACACAGAGACAGCGACAGCGATTCAGACTATGAGAGGTCCAGACGCCATTCGAGAAGCAGACACAGTAGATCAAGATCTTGGTCACGTTCTAGGTCACGGTCAAATTCCCCCAGAAGGTATTCCGATTACAGGAGCTCTTCAAGGTATTCAAGATCGAGAAGCCGGTCACCTCTTTATCGGCCATCACCTGTTTCTAGTAGAACTAGTGTGAGGCCGTCTCTCCTTGATAAACGCAAGGATGAGACAATGAAAGGAAGGAAAGTTGATGATGTAACAGGTACAAAGATCTCATCGGGATGCTCAAACTTAAAAGAACGAGTTCGTAAAGCTTTGAAGGAAAGCATTGCCTCAGAACCTAGTCTTAAGAGTGATAAACAGACTTTAGGAATCAGTACAAAGTCGAAGGAGAAGATTTCTGACCTACTGCAAAATTTAGCAAATTTGGAAGATCAGACACAATTGACTAAAGGAGGAGGACTTGTAATAGAGAGCACACCATCTACTACTCACAAGCCTGGAAAAGCATCTACTGCTCTGCCAGGAAAAACTCAGGATTCTTCTGTTGGGAAGAGCAAAGGGGATGAGGGTACGGCAAGTGATGATGAGGATAAAGATAGTCCAGGTGGCAAGGTAGGGAATGTCTTCAAAGTCCCCTCAGTACCAGCTCCAAAGATCAATAAGACTGTTAAGCAAGAGGTTAAGAACCAGAGTGGGAATGAAGCATCTGCTAAATCTTCACAGAAGAAGGATGAGTCCAGTGGTAAGGCAGAGAGGAAATCCCCCTCACCACCAGACCAAGCGAAAGACATGTCAATACCTCCTGAGGAGATGGAGAAATACCGTGAGCTGCAAGAGCAGGCAAGGCTCCATGTGCAGCAGCAGATGATGCAGTCCCAGGGACAGGTCCCCATGCAGCAAGGAAGCCACCAGGCTCAAGCCGAGGAACAGCAGCTTGCCCAGGGAATGCACATGATGCCCATTGCCCAGGGCGAAGCTGAAGGGCAGCATGCAGAACAGTACGGGGATCCCAGTCTAGGCCTTCAGGCTGCTCATCCAGGACTCCAAGGAACTCCTCAGGCTATCCCAGGCAACGAAGGAGTAGCACTTCAGGCAATGCCACCAGGTCAGGTGATGACACACGACCCCAACCTGGCTGCCGGTCAGGTGATCGTGCGGCCTCCAGGTCCTGTTCTAGCAACCCGTCCTGCTCTTGTCCCTGGCCAGTTGGTAGATGCTCGTACTGGTCAGGTTTTGGTCCGCCCTCCTACTCCAGTTATAACACCATCCCCAGGTCAGCTGATAGATGCTCGCACTGGTCAGGTTGTTATCCGCCCTGCTGCACCTGTCCTAGCTCAGCCCCCAGGGCAATTAGTGGATGCTCGCACCGGCCAGGTTGTCCGCCCCACAGGGCCAGTTGTTGCACAGCCTCCCAGCCAGGTCATAGATGCTCGCACCGGCCAAGTATTGATTCGTGCACCAGGGCCAGTGGTTGGTCCACGCCCTGGACAGCTTGTTGATGTTCGCACTGGTCAAATAGTTGGGGCACGTCCTATGCAAGTCCTGCCCCCACGTTCAGGACCACTTGTCCTTGCTGCTCCAGGCCAGCCGCAGCCAGTCAGCCTACCATCCCCAGGGCAAGGTATTCCACCCCTTCCTGGTCAGCCACAGCTGTTAGTTGGAGAAAGGGGTGAAGTTCTGCCAGCTGGGCCTACACTTGGCCCTTCTCCATCTATATCTCCAGGACCATCCCTGACACCCGCGCCTGTTCTCACTCCTGGAGCGACAGTGTCACCAGGTCCTGCCTTAACACCAGGCACCCTGTTGGCTCGTCCAGGATTACTGCCAGGTCAGGTATTGACTCCAAGTCCAGAGTTAGCACCGGGCCAGATGGTACCCCCGAGGCAGATTTTGAAAGTGGTTCCAGGTGCACCCCCTGTTTTGGTCTCAGAGGCTGGAGCTGTGATGCTGGGGCCAGCCGGGGTTCCAATCCGCATACGCACGCCCATTCCGTCTGCTCAATCCTTACCAACAGCTGGAAGTCCATTGATACCAATGGGCGTCCCCATCCGCATGCACTCTGTCCGTGCACCATCCCCACAAGCACGACCGATACTGCACACTCCTCCCCAGAGTCACAATGTCACTGAACAGCCGGCCTCATCACCAAGTCCTCAACCCAAAGCCTGTTCTACACCTCAACCGTCACACTCACCAACAAGTCCACTGGTGCGAGTTCCGAGCCCTTCACTTGTGCAAGTAGCTAGCCCAGGCCCCAACCCGAGTACGATGCGAATGATGAGTCCAGTCCCCATTGCTGTCTCGCCCTCTGGCTTGCCTGTTAATGCCATGCGGATACCATCTCCAAAGCAGATTCCTTCTCCAGTACCTGTGATATCCCCAGTTCCTGGATTGCCATCTCCCATCCATGCCCTGCCTGGGCCCCCAGGCAGCACCCCCATTCCGGGAATGATTCGCTTTGCGCACCCATCAGGTCCACCAGCCGCTGCTTCAGTCGCTGTGCCAGGATTACCTCCAGGAGCCATTCGGGTGTCGGTGCCCCCCGGGATGGCCCCAGGAGTTGTGGGAAGTCCCCGAATAGCTCTCCCAGCTGGTGCCCCTATTCCAGGCGCTGTTGCTCTGCCCGGTGCTAGGGTTGGACTCCCTGGGACCGTCATCCCATCAGCAACACCAGTTCCCGGAGTTCAGAGAATGGCTCTTCCTGGGGGTGTTGTTTTGCCCGGCGGCATGGCCATGCCCGGCGGCATGGCCGTGCCCGGCGGCATGGCCATGCCCGGCGGCATGGCTGTGCCCGGTGGCATGGCTGTGCCAGGATCCATAGCCGTACCTGGAGGGCTAGCCGTACCCCAGGGAAGAGCCATTCCCGGCAGAGTGGCCATGCCGCAGGGATTGCTAGTGCCCAGGATGGTCCAGGCTCCTGGTTTGCCTCCAGGTGCCAGGCCAGTGATGGTTGCCGCAGCGCCTGGTCTGAGGCCTCCACCAAATGTAGCAGCATCCTTACTTGGAAAGCCCATCTTTAAAGCAGGCGGTGGGGGTCCTGGAGGTCCATCTCCATCGCCAGGCTCTGCCTGAGAGGAAAGCTCTACTGTTTACTAAATATGTGTTTTAAGTATTCACCGTTGTGCTAATTTAGATCAATACACACATACAGTATCAAATCTTTGCCATGAAATCTGGTCTCTGTAGGATCAATGAGTATATGCATTGTTTCATAGATGTGGTCCAGGCATTAGTTTTCTTTTTTCAGTTTGATTGACCATGGCGTACCAAGTAAGAATGAAACTTGTAAGCTGAGCGTGTCCCATGAGATGCTGATGAATAAGCTGTCCCCGTGTTTAGGTAGAAGTTTGCGTTTTAAAATACATGTAGCTGTGTGAAATTGGCCCAAGGTCTGAAAGTGTGCAGTATGTCGTAATTTTCTATTGAGAGGTGCTGCATTTCCCTTGCTGGGTAAAAAAAAATGTGCGGTCATTCATCCTGTAGTGTGCGGCATCGGCACAAAGTAATTTAAAAATTGCATATATGTAACTTCAGCTGTTCATCATGTGATGATTCAACCCAACTGTTTTTTTGACAGCATGATATATACNCGGCTGAATGTTATCGTTTGACAGGTGTCATAGATTGGGAATTTATTTGAGAAGTACATGTAGGAGAAGAAATGGTCTCTTCAAACCAGGGGCCAATTTCATAGAGCTGCTTAAGCACAAAATATGCTTTAAGCGCGAAAAAATCTTACTGGATAAATCAGGTAACCAGCCAAAACTCAATGTGATGTTTATTGTTTTGGGGTCATACTTTGCCGTGTTTTGGTTAGCATGACAAATACAGTTTGAGATGGTAACCTTTGTTTATTAAGCAAAATTTTTTTCCTGCTTAGGCAAATTTTGTGCTTAATTAAGCAGCTCTATGAAATTGGCTTCTGCAGGCTTTTGAATAAATGCTTGTATTGACAAGACAGACCAGTTGTCATGGTGTTCATTTGCCATTTTAATTTTCATTTCTGTAAGTTTTACTTGTAGATTTGCATGACGTCGCTAGAAATTTAATGAGCTTTATTCTTCCATAACTTAATACATATTGTTTTAACGTACTGAATGGTATATTAACGTACACCATGCAATTCACTGCAAACTAATTTAAAAATAATTTGTACATTTGTTGTATGAATATTTATTTGGATTGAGTTGCAATACTTACAGAATAAATAAAAAAAGTAGTTGGATTGCCAGGCGTAAATTCACAGATTATTGTGTGAAGAGTAAAAGTGCACGTAGCAAACTCGCTTATCTTACAATTTAGCAAACAGTTCTGGCAAAATTTTAAGTGGTCGTAGTTGTCCATTCCTTATCCTCAAAGAGCTTCATGTATTTGTTGTCCTTGCAGTGCAAAACTACTTCCTTTTAAAAACAGCCTATAAGAAGTGTCTTTTTTTTGACCCTGGCCTTTTTTAAAGGCCGAAAAAAGCAAATTTTTTGCCATTGTGTATGTTTTTTACTTGTTTCAACAGCAAAACTTAGAATATCTTTACATACTGCAATCCGAGTAGTCAAGGCTGGCATGAGTGAAGAACTTTTTTTTTTCCTCTTTGAAACAAGTTTCGGTTTGTCATATATAATTAACCCTTGGATAACTATATGAGCTGATATGTGCTGGTTTGATGGTAAAACGTCACAGTAAACTGTTTGTCTCAACCTGGTTTTATAGGTGAACAGGTGATTGTTATTAAAAGGTTTTGGACTTAAAACTGAATTGTGAGGCTTTCAGTAGCACATGCTTACAGCTAAGAACTCACCAGTTTACTTTTAAAAAATTGCAGATTTCGTCCGAGTGAAACTTTCAGAATTTGTCGTAGACACTCAAAGATTTCAGGTAATTTGAAATCAATTATGAAGTATTTCATAAGTTTACTCCAAGATGTGCTGCGGCCAGAGTTTTTGTATCATTCTTGTTCTACAGTTCAGTTCTTACAAACAGTCGTAGTAAAGCTGAACAAGTTTATTCTTGTGGGTATATTAAGAAAACACAGATAAGCTAGCAGTGTCATGGTGGATGTACATAGTGTAATTATGTCATTTCAGACTTCATGGAAATAAATTGCCAGTGCAACTGTAAAATCTGATTCAGTGGTGGAGTTGATTTTTTTTTTCTTTTAATTTATTAAAATTAATTTTTACAGGCCTGAGCGTGGATGAAGGCATGCCCCAAATAATCTTAATATCTGTGAAGGGAAGTGTCCGTTGCTATGCTAGTTGCAAATCCTCATTTGTTTTGCCTTATTCCTGTTTAGTTTACATGGCTGAAATGGGCAGATGTTTCCTTGTACAGGTTTCTGCTAACCAATATTTGACCCGAAGAATTACTACTTGCGCCTGAATGGACTGTTCAAGTCGGGTGGGATTCACACAACCTGCAGATTAGTGGGAAATCATTCAGGAACAAAATGTTGAATGCCTACATCTACATGCATGTGCTTATTTAACTTAATGAATGCTACAGAAGCATAAAATATTGTTGCATGAAATTGGGTGTGTAACATTAAAAATGAACTGATGCATGTAGATTCAAAGTACACCGATGAAACTCATTTGTGCTGGTGAGATGTGAATCTTGGGAAGATATTGTCTCACTATGGACTCCACAAGCTGTGAACATTTTGATCATTTCTAGTTTATGATCACGATGATTACTACATACATGTGCATTAATATCTACCTCTTGCACCTGTCTCAAGGGGACAAGCACAGAAAGAAAAGAGTGGATCTATGGCAATAAACAGTGACTGGTAAAATATGAATGACCTTAAAACCTCAAAACCTTAACCCTAAAACTCCTCAATCCTTCACCTTTTGGAGGACTGAGGATTGTTAGGGTTAAAGATATCACTTTTTTAAAAAAGAAAAATCTTTGTAGTTTAGGAATCAGGCAACATAAAGGATTTTACTGAAATTGATATTACTAAAGCTTAACTTTTTGTACATGTTCATAAACCCTAAAAACTCTTATTAGAAAATGTATAACAACATGCATAATGTTGGTTTTGAATCGAAATGACACCATGGTAAAATCTTATTGAACATTGCTGCTTATCTGGAGATACCCGAGATTTAGTAGGTTATCAATTTCCCTTCAAATTTCCTCCCAAATAAAAAAATATTAGGATACATTATTGCACACTGTATATAGGGAGAGTTGTGACCACTTCGAATTGGAAGGCATTTTTGCTCCCCAAGTCCACATGCTTGTTTACACTCGAATCAAGCAACTGCCCAACTCTAGTAAATGTAAGTCCTTTTTATGTCATCTCAATGTAATTCAACTTACAGCCACTTATGTTTCATGCAGCTCCAGTCAAGACAACCCATTATGGAAACAAAATGGCATCGCGCACTGACACGAAACCCTCATGTCACAACTCGACCTGTATACCGGGACACTGTGCAGCTTAATAGAAGAGCGAGGGTGTGAGGGATCGGAGCAGCTATAGTTATCCAGTCTTTCAAGTTTCATTTGTAATGGTACTCTATATGGGAAAGCGATTATCACGAAAGACTACAATATGCAGTCGTCAGTAAAAAACCTGAGACTGTTTTGTAGCACAGGTATCCCAAATTGTGACAAGTACAGTGTGTCAATTCCCATCATCTCAAATGTTTTTCTAAAACTTTTTCTCCCTCTCCAACTCAGGATTTCAGTTTTATGAATTAAGTTGTAAACTTGCTGCTCACTGCAGCTTCATTTTTCTGCAACGGACGGGAACCTTGGTCTTGGCAAAAGACCTTAGTGATCCGTAGTAATGTTTGTCACTCTCATAAAGTACTCTGCATGTTCCCTAATGTCATGGGAATCTCAAAGAAATGGGGGTGAGGTCATTTTATGTAAATTATTTAAAACTGCTGGTGTAAACAGCAGTATCATTATTCAAAAAAACAGTGACCTCCCAATTCGATATCAGTGGTTGTTCCGGGGGGTTGGATCTCTGTGTTGCTTATCAAATCAGAATGCTTGATCACCACACATCACAGCTGAATTCTGCACATGGTGTGTACCTTGGCAACCGTCGTGCGACTGACAAACCATTTTGTGATTGCTGATGGGTTCCCCAGAAAGCTCAGAGAGAAAATACAGAAAAAGTTAAACAGCTACTATGAGATTCCCAAGACATTCGTGCAAGCAAGCACCCTGGTCTAATTATTGGGTTGTTAGAAGGTGCACTATGCATGATCTGTTGTTGAGCACTAGCATCTTGGACCAAGACTAGGGAACACTCAAACTGGCTTTTGAAGTTTGAAGTACGTGTAGATTATTGTTTGGACTTAATACTTGAAAACGCATTTTGGGCAACAGGTGCGCACAGAAGCCAAGACACAAGCTGAGATCCAGAAAACTGGCCCAAGAGTAAAACAGAGATCAGATGAGTTGAACTTTTTCGATTGATTGAAGGCTCCTTACACGAGGAACTGAAGGTACTTCTTCAGGTAGGTTGGCAGGGGCAATTCCGAGGCTGATGAAAGTCGCTTCGCTCCAAGGCTATTCCGTACCGACAAACGGCACAATGACAGCAAACTCAGAGGTACACCTATCAGATGCAAAATTAATACCAACACTTCAGTGAAATGAAAAAACATGTCTACTGATACCAGAAGCCAATGTGCAATACAAACAGAAAAGGGAGAAAGGGGCGGAACACAAGACTGTGGTGAGGAAAGGGACACAAAGACCATTGTAAAGTAGGTTGTCACACTGGCAGAAATATATCTCACCATTACTACTAGGTTTTTCTTTTGGGAAGGGCACCCTGTATAATGCGAATACACTGTTTACTCACAAAAAGCGTGGGGTGCATGGAGTGTCAGTTTCTCAAAATGACACACGCTTTATGGGAATCTTTTCAGTAATTTTTCCAAAATGCACAACTCGGGTGCCTATGCAGTGTGTGCCCATGGAGAACTACATGACGACCCCAAACATGCTGCATCAAAACTGTTTTTTTTTTTCAAGAAAGGGCTTGCGTGGGACCCCTTCAATAACAAATAAAAGTCATTCCACTAATATTGATGATATATGAAATTCGTTCTACACACTGTCTCTGATTGCCTGACCTAATTTCTTTGATTTTCCCCTTTAAAAGTCACCAATGCTTCCCCTTCACACTTGGCACTGTGGCATTAAAGGACTTAATTCTGTTGTATGAATATTTTCTAAGCATGTTGAATGAATTTTTTTAGGGATTTTCTTGCACTTTTTTGCCTCTGGGATTTAGCTGCATATGGTTGGTGACAAAAAAGCTGAAGACAACATGATACATGTGCAGTGGAAGATTGTTAGTGTGAGATTCAAACTCACTTAAATAAGCCTGAACCTCTAGTTCCTTTTCGGTCGCCGACTCCCCACCAATCTTCCTGTTCAATTGTCTGTTGTTCTTTGTCCTCGTGCCGCCAAACTCAACCAGAAGCTTGATGAAGTAAATGTCGCCCCACTGGATGGCCGCATCCAGCAGGGAGGGCCTGCCTTCCAAGTGCTTCCTCGTCAGTCCGCAATCGGGATCGGCGCCAGCGACGAGCAGAGCTCGGAAGCATTGCCGGTGCCTGTAGGTGAAGCTGATGTGTAAGGGGGTGTTTGTCGCCGGGATGTATGGCCCCGCTAATAAGGAGCAGTTGACGTCCGCCCCGGCTTGCACGAGCACCTGCAGGCACTCGTGGAGACCCTGCATCGCTGCAATGAACAGAGGACTGCTTAGACAGTTGGGACTGCCATTCGGGTTGGCGCCATAAGACACCAGCGCCTGCACGCAACTGGGGTGGTTGTTCTTGACAGCAACGAACAGCGGTGTCTGGCCTTTGATGTCTGTCAGGTTGACGTCAGCGCCATGGGCCACAAGCAGCTCCACGCAGGGCCGGCTGCCCGTTGTCGCCGCTAGTCGCAGCGGGGTGCAACCCAGGTGGTTCTTGAGGTTGATAATCTTGTGGTTGTCAGGGGTACGAAGGAGCTCATGGAGGGACTTCAGGTCACCATTGAAGGCTGCCTGGTGCATGGGTGAGTTGGACACTGTGTCAAAGCAGAACTGATGTTGTCGCACCATCACAAATTGCTTTCAATCTCGGAACTTTGAAGTATTCCAAACTATACCATCTTCAATCCATCACACATGCACTGTACCTGAGAGGGAAAAAAAAGCTGTCAATTTTGTGCACGTCAGCTTGGTTCGCACGATCACATATATGAACTCTGTAACAACTGAAGAAGCCTTCTTTAGTGTTTCAAAGCATCGCGAATACAAAGTACAAATGACAATTGATACCATTCTTTCTGACATTAAACCAGGCGTGATGTTAGTGAAGAATAGATGTGACTGAATGCAACCACTCAGTCTCTTCTTGATTCTGTACATCAAGGAATCTTTGGAATCTTAGACCTGCTTGTTTCACACTGATCAGATGGTAATACCTCCTTGGTTCACTAACGCCACAACCTGCCTAATGAACCGAGTGAACCAGCATGCGGAACCACTGATTTCCCCCATATCCACATTGAAAATTTGAATAAAAAATAAGAAATCAACCCACACTTTTTTAAAATAATTTTCTTAGAAAGTTCTGATTGGGTATGTGAGTGGAGGTAGCCTAATAATGAAATAAATCATTTACCAATAAATGTTCTCTGAAATTTGTTCAAGTGCACGTCCTGTGCACCGCATAAGGAACACTCACAATAAACAGCAAGTCAGTCAGGAACACTCAGCTGAACGTGCCCAATTTTCGGACGCCACCACTTTATGTATTTCAGATTCATTTCATGACATTGAAATGTTCACAGAGGTTCAGCACCATGTATTATAGATGGCATCAGTTCCAGTATATATTAGTGAATGATTTTACAATATTTCAACAAAGAGGTTTGGCAACACTGCACGGGAAAAATCAAGGGAAACGTAGAAGTGCGCTACGTTTATGATACGACGTTTGACTTGGCACTTACATGCAGCCCAGACGTCAGACAGACACAGACACATGGCCTAGGCTTACTTTGACTGTGGGCCTTTGCTGTGCATGCGGCGCGGGGTGAATCAAATCAGACGTTAAAATAACAATTTGCATCCATTCTAGATTAGTCTGACCAAGAGACAAGATCATATTACCACAATGAGTCCTGGCTTACATCATCATGTTTAGAAGAAACATGGAATTTTTTCTTCTTCCACTGACAAACGTAGCCGGTTCCACAGCGTACCTTTTGCGCATCTAGTATCTGGTACCAAGTCTCGTTTTGATAGAATTTGCAAGGGCACGCCATCCGACTATTTCTTCACTACCCTGGACATGCGCTTTGCGCTATCCGTCTGCCGGCGGCAGTCCAAAATGTGCCAGAAATGCGAATCACGTGGATTCGCTTTCCGATGAAAAAGATTGACAAATAATTATATGAACGGTTGTTTTGCTCCTTAAACTTGGACAAAGAGATACACAGGACGTCAGCTTCACTTTATGGAAACTGTTGGAAAATTTTGTTGGCTAAAAAAAGGTGAGTCAGCGTTTACTTTTTCTCGAACTTTGAAGATGTCGCCACCAGCCATACCATTGTTGTCTTTGTGAATGGAAGGCAGATTGCATGAAACATGGAGGAACCTTAGCATGCTCGCATGTTTCCATTAGAAGGACGCATCGTTGCCCGATAATGCATTTACACACGACATAAAGAAACACAGAAATGGCTATGCTTTGTTTCGACACGCACAAAATTTAAACCCTACTAGTAGGCCTACCAGCACGGAATTCAAAACATAAACCACTGTGTTTTATTTCTCCATGCATAAACATGATAAATAATCCCAAAAAGCCAGAAGCGGCTATCATTGTAACTCTTGCGTTCAGTATTGTTCGGTCCCTGGGCAAATCGCAAATTTTGTTTTTAGTTATGGCGTTGACTGGGCACATATGTGACTATTGCCGTGGCTTATTTAAATTAAGATTATTGAAACACCACCGATGGGCGGTGCTCAATATCTGCGAGTTGGAGGAGGGATTGCTTGAGTAGGCCCTACATAAATACGAGCATTTCACAATAGTGCACCTCCAAGAGTTTGCAATGCATTGGCCAATCACAGTGCACAAAATCTGTCGGCCATTAATCTGGTGTTTGGAGAGTGGACAGATTTTGTGTGTTGTGATTGGCCAATGCGCTGCAAACTCTTGGAGGCGCACTAATTGTGAATCGCCCGAATTAAACATTTGTGTTTTCGGAGGGATGTAAATGCCAAATAGAGTAATTACATTTCACTTTTTTAATATTCCGTGCAATATAGTACCAACTACAATGTTGGATAGGCATAGATTAATAATAATCTAGAGAAACATTATTTAGCAAAGAATTGTAATGATATTGTATATATCTGTTATGGTCATCATCATGTACAGGTAGTTTCTGAGCGTGCTGTAAAACAGCTCTACTAGGACCTCTAATTCAAAACCTCAAGGGAAAGGCAGGTTTACAAAGATGGACCATTATCTACAATGCCAGACATTGAAATACAGTTAACATGTACCTGCCACAAGGGATAGAATGGCCATTGCCCGACTACAGAGTAAGAGTCCCACAGACGGTGCTACCTGACAGGTGAGGTAACAAGTTATCAATTAAAGTTCCTTCCTCTCGGAAATTATGAATACATCTGCAGAATCACCATGGACCCGCAGTTTGTCCCTATGAGTCCCAATGTTAGCAGGATTTGCAAGGTCACTGGCGTGACAGGCCTTAATGGAGTGAAATGGGATTTGGACATGTTGACCAATGATATTTGAATGTGTTCCAAATTCCATGCTGAGTCCAGGGGCATTTTTGTTAAAGAATTGTTAAAAAACGAACATGTTCCAAACAGCACCACCACCCCTCTCTGGATTGGATTAAAGAAAAAATCACTGTCAAAAAATATTGCCTGCCTTCGTCCTTTCCACAAGTAGTATTTATAAACATTCACAGAAGAACATGGGCGGGGCTTAGAGGATTGGTCTCAGTATCCATGCACAAGTAGTTTCAGTTTGCTTGTCTATCACCATATAGGCCTATCCAACCTCAGGGAGTTTGAAGCATTGACTGGATGTGTAACAGTTCAAAAATTAGTGCCAATTAAATACATGTAATTTAAAACATGGGAAAACTTAAACCAAACACAGTACAAAACAATAATAGCATTAAGCAACCAAACCAAACTGAAAAAAGAAGACTCGTGGCCAGAAAGTGCATTGAGGTTGTATCAGGTAGAGGAAACTGTTAATCGCGCAGCTTCTGCAGTATATCAACCGTTTGAGATCTCTTGGTTTTCCACACCGTCTTTGAGTATTTTTCTTAATGGTGGTCAGTAGATTTAAAACAGTTTCTGACATTTGATGTTTCTTTTGCTGCCCATGCATGCCTGTACATCAGTGCATCTGTGACGGCATTACCTCACGAGTGTGGTTATGCCTTGGAATTCATGCATCGCGTATCTTTTCTTCCCTGGAGTAGTTAATGAATTGCTTGTGGGATTATTTCACACGCGAATCCATGTTTTCACAATGGACTGAAACTTTTGTTTTCTCTTTCCTGAGCTGCCATGCCCAGGCTGGCATGACTTTCGAAAGAAGGAACAACTTGGTGACTCATATGTTATGCCCATATGTAAAGTAATTTAACATCGAATCACTTTTTTCCTGTTGAGAAGACTCCCACATTCAGCACCGTCAGGTGATCGGAGAACAGAATGGCCGGTGCGGCTCTAAGTTTCTTTTTATGCATTTTCCTGCAAGTCTCATTCACATCGAATTATGATCGATATTTCATCCTGAATCCGCACAACCAGAGTGTGGTCGAGGGTGGGACTGCGGCCTTTACTTGCCACGCCAACTTTCGGGTCAATTGCACGGCAGGTGAAATAATCTATTGGACGAGACAGCCCATTGATGGTGACCGCAACGCACCTGTAGAAATTACAACCTGCGAAACAGTCAACGATCAAGCAAATGCCGAGAAGTATTTACCCTCTCTGAACAGCATCGAAAACTTAACAATCTACACGCTGGAAATTGTCGATGTAACTTCGGCTGACAGTGAAGAGTACTACTGCGTTGCATTAACGCAAACCGCCGTTACCACTTCTGGTCACGCAGTGCTCACCGTGGCCAATGAAACTTTGTGCGAAACACCCCTGAACCTATCCGTCGTGGTCACTCAAAGAAGAGACCTAGCAGTACGCAGTAAAGGGGAGTTTCACTGTGGCATTGACGCCCACCCAACAGCTCCCACGTTTAGATGGTTCGTGAAGGGAGCAGCTGGCGAGACTGTTCCCATTTACACTAATGGAAGATTCGCGACTTCAGCTAATCGACTGATTATCTCGCCCCTCATGACCTCAGACAAGGCAAGTCAAGTGCGATGTGAGGTTGTATACGCCACAGGCTGTGAGGGCCGAAGTTCGTGGCACCAGATATTGGTTCTGCAGACATTGAGTGAGTTCTCCTTGAATTTTTCCATTTCCAGTGGGAATTTGTCAAGGAACACGCTGAAGCCGACACAAACTTCACGTGATCCACCACGGCATACAGTGACGAGAACAACGCAGATCGTTGTCGCTACCGATGCCTATCAGTCCGGGGTGTGGCCAGTAATCGGCAGCATCCTCGCCTTGGTAATCCTTGGAGCTATCATCGTTGGCACTGCGGTCTACTTACTTAAGATTAGGAAGCATCCCGTGGTGCGTCAGCCCAAGGCCTGTTCCAAGAAAAGATCCGAAGGATTCCCAACGCTTCGCCCCTCATCTTCCATACCGACAACTACAAGAGGAAATCCGGTGTATTTCCACACCATCAAACCAGAAAGCGGTGGAACGGAACCAGAAAGTCACCTCTACTCCGAAGTTCGTCTCGATGATGTGCGCACACAGGTGCACGGAGCATCGCCGGTAGAACTAGGAGAACATCAGAGTGATAGAAACCGACATGAGTCTTCGAAGGAAACAATCATTTGGTCAAGAGACAAACCGAATTTAACCCTGCACAACATCCAGGAGGGGGCAGAGAGTCCGTACCTGATACCAAATAAGAGTAATGTCGCATTTACTCGAGGAGCATTGAACCAGAACAAACAGATCATGGTAACTGCTTACTCGCCTCATTGATGTAAAGGTGTCAGGAGTTCGTTTGGATTAGAAAAATTAATGTTCATATCTACCAGATTTCTGACTGAGACTTTCAGTTTTTGGCAATGACCAATGCTTTTAAATGTGTTATTATTTTGCTGGAGTTTATGACCCAATAATGATTAATTTGTAATTGTAACTGGTTTGTGTTTTCTGCTGTACTTAGCTAAGAAAGTAAACATTTTGTCTTTGGTTACTAAGCACGCTACCTTGCTTTCGGTTATTCGTTAAGTGTTGAGAAATGAATAACTTTTACCGATAGGAAGCACTAGCTTTGAACTTTCAGTTTGACAACTGAGGTAAATACAGCCTTTACAGTGTACCGTTTGAGTAATCTTTTATTTAGTGTAACCAACCGAATTTCGCGTACTGCGAATCCATTTGGTTACGTACATGTACTTCCCCACATGTAATAGGAATTTCTTCCTTACATAGCCTGGACAAACTGTATTGTCGATGCCTAGCCAAGCATGCGCAGGGTATGGCGTGATGCAGCGCCAAATTCAAGACGGCCATTCCTGCGCATGCCGTTCTGAGAGGAGTCACGTAGAGTGCTGTTCTCTCTTCTTTTTTGTTTCCTTAGTTTATAGCCACATTTGCTTTCCTCCTTGGTCGTTTTTCTGAAGTAAAAGCTGTTGCTACATCGAGTCCTGACAGGTGACTGTGGCCGACGGCAATTTAGTCTTGCGGGACTAGATTCTGGTGAGGAAATTTTAGATATCTTTCATGTAATTGTGATTGTTGTAAAGCAAGGATGGTCAATTGCATTGAACGATTGTATTTTTTGTCAGTCTTTCTTAGGTTATGTTCAATGGTCAAATTACGATCTGGGAATTTGATTTGCTGATATTTGTATAACAGTTTGAACATAGTTTTATCATAAAGATAGATCGTTCAGACATGTTGTGTTATACTTGTCATGTAGGACTATAATACCATTGCTGTCAATAAGAAGCTGGTAATGCTGTAGATCCTTCCCCTCCACTAATCTTCTGGCAGGTACAATGCTTGCTGTAAATTTAAATTTTGCTGTTCGTGTTAAGAAATTATGGGCGACGTGTGCATCATATTCAAC